ACTTCCAAATGCATTAAATTCCTAAAATATAGTGAGCAATAGATCCATGTATCAATGTCTTGTCTTCTATCTCACTGAAGCAGTAAAACAAAAAGGGAGTTAGTCAAAGCCCTCCAGATACAATATGTATGTGTGCATTCACCCTATCAATGCCATCTTTCAAATGTATTTCAGGACTCATTTTCATTGCTTCATTTTGCTATTATGTTACCACAACCAACCCTTCTTGTGCAGTTTTTTTTTTTTTCTATCAGACAAACATCTATACAACCTGAATTTCACCTGTAGCTATAGTTTACTCATAGAGCAAACACTGCTGTCATAGTAGTTGGTACAAACAAAAAATAATATAATAATAATAATAGTTTATATTCTATGCATAGGCAAACTGATATGTTAAGACGGAGGGAGCGATTCAGCAGAATTTATAGCCAGCTCCCATCTACCTATGCTCAAAATTTCTGCCCTGTAAACTGTTCTCCTGTCTAATCTGTAATGTTCAAATCCATCTGGTCTGAACTTTCTGACTTAGAATTTTCCCAGGACAATTTTAGGTAATGAATGTGTAATGTAAATGCAGAAGACAGAGCTGGACTCAATGATCGTTGTGGGCCCCTTCTAAGTCAGGAGATTCTAAGATTTTGTGAAATTTATGCATTGCATAGATTGGTATTTGACTAACTGCTCCCATAATACGTTGGCAAAGATTTGCTAAGAGAAGTTGCAATTAAGTTTCAAATTGATAAAAGCTGTAAGTATATATTTGAAAGCATTCTAAAACATTTTAACATTATTAAATATTTCACATCATAGTTTTAAAAACAAGCTGAATGACTAATCGGAATTGCTTCCCAGGACACTGTGCTCATTGATGCTTTGTTTTTCTCTTAGAGATACTGTATAATTCTTAACACAAGAGGTTACCGTTTTCAATTTCTGTTACTCACTCCCAGACAGAGGCTGAGAAGAAAAACAGGTCACAGTAAGAGGCTGTTAGTTACGTAGTCTTCCTGCTTCCTTCCTTCCTGTTATTCAAGCCTGTCAACTCTACTGCTTTAAGGAGAGAGACCCATATGAGGTTGACTGTCTCCTTTTTACTGCCTCACAAAACAATCACAGGAATAACAACAGTGGTATAGAGACACGTACGATGGTACAGTGCAGTGCAGAATTTCAGCATTCACAGCTTTAGAACTACTATCTCAGGGGTCTTATTCTCTGGAATGTTCACTGAAACCTAATTTTGTAGACAGTTTCTCCTATACAGTGATACGTATCATTTTTCCTTACTGCTTATTCTCACTGTGGCAAAGGTTGTTCAACATTTCTTCTGGAAGAGAACCTGCATTAAAGACGAAAAACTTGCCCGCCGGTGAAGGCTTCATTTCCTTTTAACCACCCCTGATAAAAGTGCATACCACTGCACTAGGCACTAGAGGGCACAACAGATGTCCTTTGGATACATATTTTAAAATCTTAACTCACTGTTGAAGAGAAATAACCGTGTGTACAATAAACTTGGTATTACTCCTGAGAAAATTGTAAGGAAACTAAAATCGTTCCTGGGTAGCTATAATCTAATTTATTTACTTTCCAAGGAAGATAACTGTACCTTGCAGCCTAGTCCAGCAAATCACCTTTGGTCATAGGGGACAAGCAGTGATGGCCTGTTGTTCACTGTCATGCCCAGTGTAAGAACGAAAGGGCATCAACTGAAGCTGTTAGGAACCAGATGCAGAACAGCCAAAAGGATCGTTCTTCAGAACAGAAGGCAAGTCTGTGAAAGTTTTTGCTAAGAATGTTGCACATTTAAGGAACTGGTACAGAGTCATAGGGAGATTAGGCAAAGTACTTAACAGAGAGATAAACTGAAGTTTACCATACAAACTGCTATATGTTCAGGCCCAAGGTGAAGATATCTGCAGGCTAAGCAGTGGGGCAAATATCCTACATGCTTACCCTGTCCTTACTCTTTTGAAGGAAGCCACTCGTGAGCAGAGTTGAAGACAGAACACGAAGTTAAACAGGCCTTTGATCTGAATCTCTACTGACGTTGTTACTTTCTTAGGATCTATGTTTTGTGTTAGAGAGGAGAACATTCTGTGCCAATCAAAAGCAAGATAAGCTATAAATATACATATTTCTTATGAAGTCCAATTCACTCAGTCAATACTCAGGGATAACTGACAAGGACAGGAGAATTTTATTCCATTTTAGTCACTGCTACTTTTCTCATTGCTAATTAGCAATGAATTTCTTAGAGCGAGAAATATATTTACAGGAAAAAGAAAAAAACAACATCCTTTTCTTGCTACAAGGGAAGACTGAAGAGAGATATCAAATGCAATGGGGAAAAAAAAAAGAAAGAAAAAAAGAGTGAGAGAGATTTCCAACCTGCAAAATGAAATTCTCATTGCAGGTGTACGCTGTTCTTTGAGCATGTCTGAGCCTCTCTTAACACTTTCCTGGGAATTACCATTAAAAATGAGGGGGATGTGAAAGAGGTGGAAGGGAGACTATAAGAAACTCCACTCCATCTCACACAGTTGCCCAAACAGCAAAAGTAAATGGATTCCTAAAACCCCTGAACCTTCTCTTAAAGCTCTAAAAAATGTACTCATAGATTTGCCTGAACCAGGCTGCTGAAATCCTTACAAGGGGACTTGTCCAAAGGCAAACAGGAAAACAGACTGACTTTTCTGTTACTATTTTGTAAAATTATTAGAGATCAGCCTCACAATATTGGAGAAAGACATACTTTAGTGTGTACTAGGAATTAACATGTGAACTGATCACGTACAACCTTACTAAGAAATAAGATTTTTGTTTTACATCTGCACTGAGATAACTATCTTTCAGTCACGTGGAGAAATACTTAATGATTCTATGCCTTCATATTCATAAACACCCTGAAGTTAAGACTGCATCACACTTACAGTGGAGCAATGTTTTCCAGTTATAAGCCTATTATTCACTGAATAGTAAAATAAAACATCTTCCTTTGTAAGTAACGGTGCAATATTTTAACATAGGTGTCTGTCACAGAATCACAGAATAGCTTGGGTTGGAAGGGACCTCAAATACCTCCTTAGTTCCAACATCCCTGCCACAGGCAGGGTTACCAACCACTAAATCGGGCACTAGATCAGGTTGCCCAGCACCCCATCCATCCTGTCATCTAGTCCAGCAATAGGGCATCCACAGCCTCTCTGTGCCAGTGTCTAATCACCCTCTCAGTGAAAAATTTCCTCCTAGCATCTAATCTAAATCTCCCCTAATTTAGTTTAAAACCATTTTCCCTTGTCCTATCACTATCTAGCCACATAAAAAGTTTATTTCCCTCCTACTTATTTCTCCCCTACTTATAAACTCCCTATAAGAATTGGAAGGTCTCCCCAGAGCCTTCTCTTCTCCAGGCTGAACAAGCCTGGCTCCCTCAGCCTGTCTTTACAGGAGAGATGCTCCAGCCCCCTTTGTGGCCCTCCTCTGGACCTACTCCAAAAGCTCCTCATCTTTCCATCAATCTGACGTGTTCCCTGAAGTCCTTCCTCCACATGAAATAAGACTCCTCTGTTAGTGTGATCTCTATGTTCAGGTGAACCTTTTCAAATATTGTTGATGTTAACAACATACATGTTAACAACACATCCTGAGGAGGACAAAAATATTTTGTACTCAGAGGAAATCTGCCCTTCATCAAGGATCTCACATTCACTGTTTGCATTACAGGAGACCAAGACAGCTGAGACTTCTGTGCCAGCTTTGTCAAAACATAGGTACTGAAGTGCTTCATGTCAGGATAAGACCAAGCATGTCAGCTGCCATCAGACTCTGAGAAAGCTCTGGAAAGCTTTTTGGCTTGGGAACAGCCACTGTTCACTCTGAGTAGGCTCCTGATAGCAATGGGTGTGGATAGGAAAGGAAGCAGGACCTCGGAGGAGTCATGTGCCAGCAGAGACCTGGTTGATGTTCAGGCCATGTCCAGGCAGCAACAGTGATATTCAACAGGACAGAATCCTAGAATCATTCGAGTTGAAAGGGATCCTTAAAAGTCATCTAGTCCAATTCCCTGGCAATGAACAGGGATGCTTACAGCTAGATCAGGTTGCTCAGAGCCCTGACTAGCCTGTAAGTGACTGCTGTAGCCTCAGTGCCCACTGCTGTCGCCAGTGCCTGCAGTACTTTCTCCCTGGGAAGTAATGGGAAATGCTGTGGGATTTGTGTCTCCCATAACCTGGGCAGCAGGTAAAAAATGCCAGTGGCACGAGCTTTGCACAGACATTTTTCCACTGCAGGAGGACACAGGTAGCGCTGGCGTTTACTGATCACTCAAACACTCGGTTTTCCCCTCACATTCTCCATTTGCAAACCCCAAAGTCATTCTCACCCCTCTACGCACGAGGGTTGGAGGAGGCGTACCTATCACCGAGCTGCTGTTGCCAGCGACGAGCATCGCCCTTTGCAGCACAACACGAGCACGCGATCATCACACACACAACCCATACACGTAAACACAACGGTAACGACAGCGCGCAGTAAAACCAACGCCTCCAGCGGCGGCAGCAGCCGCAGCCTCGGGCCGCTGCCCGCCCCGCACTGGGCCCGGCCCTCCGGAAGGGCAGCGAGCGGCTCGACTCGGTTCCGCGCCGCCCGGCAGCCCGCCTCAGCGCACAGAGGACGCGCGGCGCCGGGCCGGCAGGGCTCCGCTGCGGGTAAAGCACGGCGGGGAGCGGAGCGGAGCCGCCCCGGGGCCTGCGCTGCAGCGAGACGGGGAGCGGCGAGCGGGTCCGAAACGGGGTTTGAAAAGGCGGCAGGAAGAAAGGCCGAAACGCGGGCACGATCCTCTGCCAGACGTGGGGCGAGGAGAGATTGAAGTCCGTTCTCTCACAGCGCTCCGTGCGCCCGGCAGAGCTCACAAACGTCTGATCGCGGGCCCCCCGCCCCGCTCCTGCAGACGGGGATCGCACGGGACGGAGATCTGCGTACCTCCTGGTGCCGTTCCTCACGTAAACGAACGCGGCGTTTGAGCTTACAGGCCGTGTCGGAGTCTCGGGACGGAACCTTCCAAGCGCTACTGGAGAATGGCAGGTAAGAAGAGCTGCTGATACAAATGCGATTCACTCAGACCCTCGGCAGGCTGGTGTATGGAACGCCTGTAGCATTGCCTTGTGATACGAAGCCGTTATTTTGTCAAATCGCCACAATTCGCTCAGCGAAGGATGCGTTTGAAAACTCCAGTCTCTCCAAACACAGTGTCACAGTGCCCACAGCTCCACTTCAAGGGCAACAAACCACTAGAGCAGATGAGCTCAGGAGATGCCTGAATTACATACTGCCAGCTGGGAACTGAGAGCTGCTTGTTTTGCGTGTTCAGTCTTTTATATAAAACCTGGAAATTTCAGAGAATAGAATCATAGAGTCATTAAGATTGGAAAAGACTGCTAAGATCACCTAGTTCAACCATCAACCCATCCCCACCATGCCCACTAACCACATCCCTCAGTGCCACGTCCACATGTTTCCTGAACCCTCCAGGACAGTGACTCACCACCTCCCTGGGCAGCCTGTGCCACTGCCTCACTGCTCTTTCTGAAGCTACATCCCACCATATCTGCCCTGCCATTCAATTTAGCTTAAATACACTCTGTTGGCAATTTGACATAAAACAGAAAGCTCACTGACACACTAAGAAAAATCCTGTCACTTTTTGTTGGTGTCCCCGTGAAGACACTGAACTGCAATAGAGGCATCTAAACATCTGATGTTGTCACTCACACAGCACTGAAACAGAAGATGTAGAGAGAACCTGCAGGAGGTGCTCTGAGCTCCCAGAAGTCATTTCTACAACAGTTTTGAGGACGTGTAAATTGGTGCTGCTTTGATTCCATCCTGTTTGCACAATTGCTGCAGCTTGTCTACCCAGCTGAGGGAGCTAAACCAACAGAAGGCTTTTTTTTTTTCCTGTTGTAGGGTGTTTTGTGGAGTGGTAGTGGAATCAGCCAAACACAAAAGCTGATTCAAGATGTCCTTGTCAGAAGAGAAATTGGAAAGCCCTGAGTTGAGCTGGTGTAGGGCAGCACAGCCTGCTAAAGAAATACACCCACTGTCCACTGAGTTCCACCTAAAGGTGTCCTCTGCTTTTCTTTCTGCCTCCAGGGAGAAAAGTTCTGATCGTCTACGCACATCAAGAGCCCAACTCTTTCAATGGATCTTTGAAGACGGTTGCTGTGGAAGAACTGAGCAAACAGGGCTGCAGTGTCACAGTGTCTGACTTATATGCAATGCAGTTTGAGCCACGGGCAACAAGAAATGACATTGTTGGTGAGAAATTTTTCAATGAGGCAAACTTGCATCTTGTTCATCCTGCTGCATTAACAATCTAGAACCCATGCTGTTAGGTGCATTCTGAAAAGCAGTTGCTATCATTCTGTACAAATATAACTCAACTAACAAGACTCTGCTTTTTTATTTTCTGCGAGCATTGATCAAGAAATGCCAGTGTAAGTATCACCTGTTTTTTAATAAATCTTAGAAATGTCCCCTCAATTAGAAAGATGAATCATCTGTATAGTACAGACCTGTAAAACAGCATTCTGTCTATAGACAGGGAAGTTCTGTCTATAGAAGGGAATCAGGGATGCCATTGTTTTCCTGGTATTTGCAATCAACTGAAGAGACACTTTAAGAACAACCTCCCCTTAATGAACAATATTACAAATGCTTACTGCAAATTAGCTCCAGGCATTTAAGTGCATGGGTTTGTGAGTCGTCTTGGCATCTCACAACTATTTAATAGCATTTAGCCATGGTAATTTTTCTAGTCAAGAAAAACAAAGCTTTAACACCATCTATGAGAACTGACAATCCTTCTTTAGAGCAAGAATCAAAAAGAAATATCACAAGTCTAAGGCGAGCACTGGCAAAGAAAGAAGACGACGCTTATTAACAGTGAGACTGCAAGACTTGAGAATTTCTAAAAGTCCAATCCTGGGCACGACTCTTGGCTCACAGTGAGATTACTGAGAGACAAAAATGCATTAGCACTTGTTCAGAATCAATCTCTCATCTGAAGTCCATTTCTCACCATTGGGTGAGAAATATCTTCAGATATCATTGTACAACTTAGTTCAGCTTATAAGGTCAGTACTTCCACTTTCCCATACTTTTAACCAGTCCTTTTGCTAAAGACTGATGAACTGCTAATTCAATCAGCAGGAATGGATGTGTAGTTTGATTTGGACATACCTGAATCATGATGGAGCCAGCACAGACAGTGGATACTGGGGCTGGGGAACCACCCAGCCTCTGCTGAGCTGCCACAGAAACCAAAGAGCAGATACATAGTGCTTGTGACTGCAGTTTCAGTAATCCCTAATGCAGAGGCAGAACAATTAGCAAAATTCTCTTACATCTTCTTAAATCATCCACCTGCATCACCAAATTAAGTCTTCTTTTTGCACATCACGTTACTTCAGAAAGGTGAAAGTTTCAGTACTCTGAGGTCATACATTCCTCCAGTTTACAATCAGATCATCATCTATCAGCTGTGATGATACTGAATAGCCATGAAAAAAATGTAAGTGGGAAAAGAAAAGCAAGCAGTAACTCATTTTAGAACTGCAGATCACAACATGTATTTGATTCTTATTTGGCTATAGCGCCATGGATGGAGTAAGCAGTGACTGTGCCCTTCTCTCCACAGGTTGCTTGCACAACTCAAATGAGTTCAATTATGCTGTGGAGATGACAGAAGCTTACAAGAAAGGATGTTTGTCCAACGATTTGATCGAAGAGCAAAAGAAGGTGCAGGAAGCAGACTTACTGATTTTTCAGGTCATTATTTTAAATTGCATTAGAATACTTCTGTTGTAATGTACAGGGCTGAACAGCCTAAAAGGAGTAGTAAGTGAAAAGATTACAGATTTCATTAGGTACATTGACTCTAGAAAGAGTGAACAGGCAGCAGTTCAGCAATCAACATAAAATGGTTTATACCCAGCATAGCAATTTCAAGGTGTCAGGTTTTTCTGATATGGTGTGTATTTCAGAAAACTCAAAAATACCAGATGAAGTGTATTATTTGTGCTAGCACAGTATGAATTTTTCACACAAATAATGGCTCCACACTGACATTTTTAGCAAACAGGAAGGCATGTGAGATCAGATCTTGAAAACAGCCAAGTAAAATTCACATCTGCATTTCGCCTTGAAACTAACATTCAGAAACAGTGCAATTAGAATATTTTTGTGAAGACTGCTTCTTATGCCACTGCACTCTAAAACAATTGCATGGGTCCACTCAGACTACAAAGTACTGAGTGCAAACTAATGCTATAATTCTCAATATGAGAACAGTGCCTTATTATCATGCAGCCCAATACTATACTCACATCTTGGAGCACAAGCAAACCAAACACACATTTATGCGTGGGAATGTAAGGGTTTAAATGCAGTTAAAGTATGCAGTTTCAAGTTTGGGAAACTGTAGCAGACACCAAACCATCAGCTGTATGGACAAAGGCTTCATCTCTAAATAATGTCACAGGAACAAGCACAGATCAGGAGTACAATTATTAGAGTAGTTATAACAGCAAATCCAGAAACTTGCTGCAACAAGGCCAAATGTAGTGTCTGTATTCACAACGATGTACCTGACCATGGTTATCAGGCAGCAGGAAGCTGGACATGGCTTCTTTTATGGGCAAGGAGTTTGGGGCAGCCAGCAAGCTTGGGGAGTTCTGACTTCCCCAACCGTACTGCCCTTTTTCATCACTGAGTTGGACAAGCAATGTCTGGACTTGCTGAGTTTTACAACTCATCTCTGCTCTTTACTGCAGTAGTCCTGTCTTTGGTGTGCACAAGGCCCAGAAATATCACAGGAAGCAACACTAGCCCCACAGCATGGAAGAAGCGTTCCCTGTGGGAGACAGATGCCTAGGTACAGAGTAGGTCCTAAATGAAACAGCAGCATCAGCAGTGTAGAGAGTGAAACATGTCACATACTTGTGCAAATGCAGTCAATAGCAAGGATAAAGTACACAATGTACTGGCCTCCAGAGTGCTGATATTCAGGAAAATATTGTGATCAAACTCATCAAACTGATGGCCTAGGCACAGCTTGTATATATTCAGCTGTCCTGTTCCCGGTAAAATTTAGGATATGACTGCATCCTGAGCAAGCATTTCAAATGCATGCTTTCATCATTTTCAAATTATTGTTTCTCATATAAGTATCATAAAACATCCCCTGAGGGAAGAGGTTGCTTTCTGCTTTCTGTCTGTAAAATACCAGGAGGAGTTGAGCACATTCTAGTGCAGAAGAAATATAATATAATAATAAGGAAAGAGGGGAAAAAAAGGAGACCTACTGTTAGAGAGGAAGTTTTCTTCTCAAAATGGCAGTTCAAGACCAACATGTCAGTGGGCTGCAAGGCAGCATTAAAACATCATGTCAGATCAGAGCTGTCACCAGATGCCCTGGTAATAGGTCCCCCTGTGGCCATTTTGGCAACCATAACCATTAGCTTATACATTCCTTTTGCATTTTGTATGGTCTTGAGTTTGAAAAATGACATTTTCCAGCTCTACCATTTTCCAACTTCCATTCATGTGGAAGCTCTGACATTCACCATGGTATTAACGCACTACAGCTGCTATGTACCTGAGATTGCTACAAACAGAGAGCACTTCAGTTATTTTTGCCAAGCATAGTTACTGCCTCTCCTTCCTCAAAGATGTGTACAAGATCTGAACAGATTAGGAAAACAAGAGATTGCCTACAGACCAGGCCTAAGGATGCCCTAGGCTCTCTGCACTAACAAGGTCATTCATTTTTTGCCTAGTTTCCCTTGTACTGGTTCAGCATGCCAGCAATCATGAAAGGCTGGATGGACAGAGTCTTGGTCCAAGGATTTGCTCACGATTTTCCAAACTGCTATGACTCTGGTTTGCTAAAGGTATGTTTCTGAGACTGTTTTATTAAGTTCAAAATTTTTGCAGTGCACTTTAGGTAATGGTCTTTCTTTGCATAGAATCATAGAACCATAGCATGGCTTGGAAGTGACCTGTTCCATTATATTTGTAAAAAAAAAAAACACCTCTCACTTTCAGCTGTCCTCCATTCCGTACAGGAATTACTTGTTTTTGGAAGCATCTGGCTCTATTCAGGCCTTCAGCACTACAGTTCCGCAGGCTGCTCCAGAAGTAATGCCTCCTAACTTATTATGTTGGCCCATGATGTCAGATGGCAGCAGAGGTTGAACCTTCGCTCCAGTATTCTGTTAGGTGTTGTTGCTGTGTGACAGATGAAAGCAGAGGAGTGGTCTGACCAAATGACATCTGACATGGAAGTGTGTATGAAACAAAGGTGTGGAACTTAATTCACCCATGCAAAAAACATGCCATTCGTTGACATTCATCAGTGCTTGCTGGACATTTCTGGAGACCAAAAGGGGCTGTGAGCACAGTGAGGTGGTGAGTAGTACATCTCAGCAGTGGCAACAGTGAGATAATATTATATGCTTTTTGTATACATTGTAGTTTCCCTGAAAATAAGTAGAAGGCATTACTTTTGAAGCAACCTCAATACATTAGTTCAGGTCTTATCACTGAGGTATTTATCAGTCCAAAGGCATCTTGAGCAGCACTCAATAGTTGCTTGGTAAGTACAAGGAGTTACAAAAACTGCATCCTAGTCCATTACTGGGACTTATTTCCTCATCTTCCTCCAAAACATAATCATAATCCAGACATCAATCCTCTGCAGTACATTACAAAAGGTAAAAAAAAAAATCATTTTAGAGTCGGGGGGGGGGGGAAGTGCTTCCAAATTCCACCTGTAGCAGTTGTTTTTTGTATTTACTTAGATATATTCATACCAGTTCAGATTAGTGGGGCTAAAGCAGGTCAATATCCTTGTCCTTCCAAGCAACCCTTCAGTGCACTGTAATCTGTCATTTCTGATTTTCATTATTCCAAATATTTCAGTTGGTTTACATTTCAGAAATAGCTGCCCCACTGAGATGAATGGGAGTAAACCGCAATCATCATAGCTGCAAGCCGATTACAGGCAAGGAAGCTGAGATACTGCACTGAGTCACACCAGGAAAAATGTAATTTTAATTACTAAGACAGAGATAATACATGCTGGGTACAAGTCTGTGGCCCATACCACACTTATTGAATCAGAAGAAACATGGGGATTTTAGAACGCCTGAGAAATAATTTGAAAACCAGTTGTAGCTTGGAAAGTGACAAGCAATCCCAAGTCTGAATGAGGACTGTAGCATTCAATTTCTGCATTGATGAGAGAAGGGAATAAAGATGTCCTCAGTAATAGAGTGCTTTCCAGCCACAATTTTCCAAACATTTAGTCAGAGAAAGTAAGGGTCAGCCCTGTTTCATAAACACATGTCAGTATATGTAATTCCTTTTCTTTATGATGCGTCTCTGCCTAAAACCCTGATGCACAGTCCACTGACTAGCTGCACATGTTCAGCCTGTGACTCCAGGCTGCTGCTACATCTCAGCTCTAGGAAACAGGACACGCCTAAAAATTGGTGATGCCCAGGTTTCCTGGAATTTCTCTTAAACTGTTCAGCAACTCTTCTTTAAACGTGCCTAACTTAAGCACTGTGTTGTTTTGTTTTTTAATTCTAGAACAAGTTAGCTATGTTTTCTTTCACTACTGGAGGAACTGAAGAGATGTATGCAAAAGGAAGTATGAGTGGTGATATCCGTTATATCCTGTGGCCCATGCAGGTATAATAAATGAAATCTATTGTTGTTGTTACTTATTTGCCTGAATTTTTAACTATTCAATTTTTTCTTTCAATTGTATTGATGATAGTTTTACATAAGATTTATTTATTGTATATAATAAAAAGAAATAACTAGTTTGCTAATTCCAACCATCTACAAGCTAGGCCCTATAATCTTGCAACTGCTTTGAAATTCCAGATAGTTTTAAAGTTGTTTTGTATTGTCTCTGAAGAAAGCTCATGATGTTTGTCTTTTAGCTTCTCTAGCATAATAGGATTTCCTTTAGCTCTAGCATGCCAAGTTTCTTTACCCCATACCTACCTGAATCATGTAGGAAGGGGAACAGGAGGGCACTCACGTTATCATGACATGTCTTTTCTTATTGCTGCTCTTTTGTCAGAGGTAGAAAAAGTGCTTTGAGTAATTTAGGTTGTAAGGCAAATTGAGCCAGCTACTTCTTGATATAACACAATCAGTTTGTATTAATTTCTCTAGAGATTCTTTGGTCTAACCATTTTGAATACTGGCTGTGTGCCCTTGTGAGGCTACCCAGCTGCATATCTTGCAAATCAACATAATAAAGAACGTTAAATGCAGCTGTGAATTCAGACATACACAAAGAAATGGCAAGTTGAGCTGACAAATTCCACAGACCAGGATCAATGAAGCTGGCCATATTCAGTGCACTGTATGCCATTCTGCTTAATGCCTGCCCTTCAACACTAACCAACTGCCAAGATCTATATTAAATGCCCGCAATTTCCCTTCTCCTGATAAAGGCACTGGTTTAGAAAACCTGTCTTACACAGGGTCACAAACAGTTTTAGATTTGAATATTCCACATGCTAGAATTGAAAGTGAAAAGCTAACTATCTGCTAAGGCATTTCTTTCTTTCTTTCGGGTTTAGCATGGCATCATGCACTTTTGTGGTGTGAAAGTCCTTGAGCCTCACATCTGCTTTGCTCCGGAATATGTCTCTGAGGGGAAAAGGAAGGAGATGCTTACTGCCTGGGCACAGCGACTGAAGACTCTTTGGAAGGAAGAACCCATAAACTGCACTCCTGAGTGGTATTTTAATTAGTGTTCAAGCACAGGACTACAGATACTTTTTCTATTCTTATGGGTGCTTTATCTCAATATCAGAATGCTAGCTTCAGAATTCATATGCATTATAGGTATCTTGAATACAACAGTTGGCAGCTTAGCTGTCAATAAAGCATGTCTTTATTTTCTGAGGAATTCTCTTCAATGATGGATGCACAGCTCTTTGTGAAGAACTATCCTTGCCCATATAAACAGAGACATTCTGCCTGCACATTGTTAGTAACACAAGAGTTGCAAATTATACCATTACTGCTTATGAAACAGTAAAGTACATTGCCAATTTTATTTCAACACTCTTCATACCAACTGCCTCTTTCTTTTTATTGGCCAGGAAATCACTACCTATACTTAATTTCATTGTGGCCAAACCTGTTTTTTTTTTTTTCCAACGAAAGATCTGCACTTATGCCTTTAAGCTATGAAGCTTGACTGCAGATAATGTAAAAGGATGTACAGTTGCACAGTGACTCAGAGCAATAGACAATTTTGCCTTGGTCCAATATCACTTGTGCATATGACATTTTCCATTTTATTCCCACTCACTTTCATGCACAAGTTGTGGGGAAAGTACTTTTTGTCCAAAAGACAACTGCAAGTTACCTAAAGAGGGATTGAAGAACAAGTAAATCCCTCTCTGCAGGAAAATAAGTGCCTAACCATGGAAGATTCATTGATTTGGAGGGGAGTAATCCTTTGGAAGACACAATATTATCCATATTCCTCAGAGTATCCTCAGACATGTGAAACCTAAATTTTACAATTTTCTGTATTTTATAATTATGGTGCTTACCTTACCAGATGAATATCTAGTATCAAGAAAAAAAAAAAATCAACTGACATGGAAATTCTTCCTTTCTATATAGCTAACCATGATTATCAGATCTGGCTCTTCGCTGACAGCCGACCTTGTGATATCATGTATATACAGAACATCTGAAAAGAATCATAGAACAGAATCATAGAATCACCAAAGTTGGAAAAGGCCTCTGAGATGATCCAGTCCAATCATCCACCTACCACCACTATTTCCCCAGTAAACCATGTTCCTTGGTACAACACCAGAATGTTTCTTGAACATTCTAAGGACTTTCTCAAGAAGGAAATTTCTTGCCACTGTCTGGTTGACAAGGATTCACAACATGCATAAAGATTCTAAAAAAATTACAATTTCCTGCTAAGTACAAAATCTCATTGCAAAGCCCAATCAGGTCAAAACATTTGCTCAGTAAGTGATTCTCATCTTTACTGTGAAGAGTGATCTGACTAGTTAACTCAACAGAAGAAAATTACTTTCTAAAAATTTGGAAAGAATAAGACATTACTCAGGATCAGTGGAATACTTACTGTTATTCCCTAGGACAACTAATGAAACTATATCAGAATTTCCCAGCACATCCTGTATACGTTATTTCCTGCAGAGGAGTTCACACCAGAGACATGGGCAAAGATGGAACTGAGGTGTTACATGGCACAATAGGAGGTGTCTCCATCAAAGCAATCGAGACTAGAATATAATAGCTTTTAAAATTATTATTTTAATAAATAAAGTCTAATTTCAAATGTGAAAGTTTGCAGCTTATAAGTCCTTCCATCAAACCCATGAAGAAAAAAGTTTGAGAAAATAAGAATCAACTCAAAACTCTGAGATTATCATGGATAAGGCTACTAAGGGACATGGTCAGGTTGACAGTTGGACATGACCATCTCGAACATCTTTTCCAATCTATATGATTGTAAATGCAAATATTAAAGTTGTACAGGAGAGAATCACAGAATGGCCAGGGTTGAAAAGGACCTCAAGGATCATGAATCTCCAACCCCCCTGCCACATGCAGGGCCACCAACCTCCCATTTAATGCTAGACCAGGCTGCCCAGGGCCCCATCCAACCTGGCCTTGAACACCTCCAGGGACGGGGCATCCACAGCCTCTCTGGGCAGCCTGTTCCAGCACCTCACCACTCTCTCTGTAAAGAATTTCCCCCTGATATCCAACCAAAATCTTCCCTCCCTCAACTTAAAACCATTTGCCCTTGTTCTGCTATTATCAACCCTTCCAAAGAATTGATTCCCCTCCTGTTTGTAGGCTCACTTTAGGTATTGAAATGCTGCAGTGAGGTCACCTCACAGCCTTCTTTCCTCCAGGCTGAACAAGCCCAGCTCCCTCAGCCAGTTCAGTTACTAGAGAATTCAAGAAAGGAGGAAGTGGGTATGAAAGTACAAACTGCAACTGTCAAACAAAATGTTACTTTGCTCAATCAACTGCAGTGCTTAGTAGGTTTAAACATTAGGTGAAGAATATGATTAATATACATATTATTCCATATGTATATTACATACACATATTATATACATATATTATTCAATATATGATGATTACTCAAATATGATAAAGATGCACTTCTGGATACTACTTGCTGCATGCGTCTCAGCTCATTTACATCTGTGATAATAAGTGCCTGCATTAGCCCAGTTATGCATAAAGTAAACATACAAGAGCAGCAGTGTTAGGTCAAAAAGGATTCTCTAACTCCAAATCTTTTCTACACAGTGGTTATAAAGCAGGAAGAACAAGCACTTCCCCTGAATACTGTCCCGACCTCTGATTACATTTAGTTTGGGGGATTTCCTGGGCTGTGTTTGTTTTCTCCGTACTTATCAGCTCCAGTAGATCTCTCCTCTGTATTTTTTCAGTCCTCTCATGGATTTATGTCATTTTTAAGCAGACAGTGCTCTTTGGCAATGTTCATCTGGTCAACTTTTTACTTGCACATAGCATTGGAGCTGGGGAAGAAGCACCTGGTTCTGAGATCTTCATTTGTTTACTCTCAATCAAGTGATCAATTCCATCCATTCATCCACATGATAGAGTTTGTAGACATGCGTCACTTTCTCTCCTAAATAGTTTATTTCCTGTGAAGTTGTACCCTGCCTAGTTATTCTTAAAAGAGCAAGGTACTGGGCTTCGGAAATTATTGTTGCTCTCCTCTGCACTCTTCCACTTTCACTATCCTTCGACACAGAAAAGGGGATCAGAAGAATCACTATTTTAGTTATGCCATTGTGAATCATACCTAAAAACACCTGGGAAAGGTTTATTTTATGGCATAAAATAGAAATGCTGAAAAACATCCATCAAATGATTTTTTTAAAAAACAATAAAAACAGAAGCTTGAAATACAGCTATAAAAAAGAAAAAAGATGTGTAAATTTTCAAGAAGCTGTGCAAAATCACTTTTTATCACCGTTGCCCAAGTTATAAGAAGATGAAAACAAAGTTTAAATATCAGTAAGAAATATCGAAGCCTTCATTTGATTTTCTTTAATTATAAGAAGGAGCTGCTTAGTTCCCTGTAAAACAAGGAGACCTTAGATGGTTTAAGCAGTAAAAACAGAGGTTAGAAAAGCAAAAATAGTGTTAAATTAAAGAACTTGGAGGCTAAAGGCTTTGGACCGGGGTTTAAGCAGCCATTCCAGCCTTGTGAGGCAGGGGCTAAAGAAGTTTGGGCTGGTGCTAACAGAGCTCCCATTGTTCCTACCAGCAGCGAGAAAAATGCTGATTTGTCCTCGCACCACAGGCCCTGCACTGACAAGGAGGCCGAGGGGGTGCTCCCCATTGTGCTTACTCCAGACCAGATAAATATATACTGTACACCGGCATGCATTCCATAAGGAACAAAGATTTTACCATAGCAGGCAGATCAAGGGCACTGAGATGCACAGTTTCACACAGCCGTGCCTCACCTTACATTGTACACGTTTGTATAAGACACCAGCAGTAGGCCAGCAAGAGGAATTACTGAAGACAATTTAGAGCCAGGTGCAGCCCATCATCACAGCTGTTTGCAGGTAGCCATGGTGCATTGCTACTCTGCAGTGAGCTCAGTAGTAGGAATATGCGACTATGCTTGCATGATTCTGCCTTGCTGAACCTACTGTAAAAAGTACAAGGCTGGAGTGTTCTAAAGTGCTTTTATAGATATACACAGACACACACACTTTGGTATGGATAACTACACAAAAATATTTTTTGTATGTTTATCCACAAAAAATGTATAGGTACATGTACATACACAAATAAATTAACCATTCTTTATGTCTGAAGTTCTCCATATGCAAAAATCCACTGCTATAACGGAAGGATAATAAGGAGCAGTAGTAGGATGGTGAGTCAAAGGAGTATGATCAAGGTGATTGAGACAGATTGTCTTTTCCTTAACTGTCCAGCTTAAGAATATCCTTGGCCAGTTTAATGAATAAACAACACATAACAAATCTGGAGTAGCTTCTTGTTTTTGTTTTAAATGAGTAAAGGGGCTCTACTCACATCCTGTTACATTTCAAAGGAAGCTCTATCTGTACCTCCCATAAGGCTCTTTTGAAAACAACTTTTTTCCTGCCTATAAACCTGTTGCACATGTACTGTGGAGGCTGGAAGCAACATCTGTACAGTCAAAATGAGACACAGGAATAGCTGAATCATGGATGTCCACTGAATTCACACTAATGCTAATTTTATCATTTCATTTATTTGAAGTAATCAAATACAATTCAATTAATATTGCTTCTAATAAAATCCATAGGCTTATAGACACATCTGAATAGTAGAAGGTGTTGTGTCATTTGGGATGTTACTCGGCTCAATTAAGCCTAGAAAGCTGATAAACTAGGAGGATTGCCATGCCAGAGCTAAACTGCATTTAAGGAGCACACCCTTAAATGTGTAGTAGGAGGTTTTATTATTTGTAGCTCCAAATCAGAGCAGCAACTACTGATGCATTTAAGTTGAAATCAGTCATCCTCATGCAAGATGGAGAGCATATACCTCAGTGAATCCCATGCTCTATGCTGGACTCCCTTTTGCATGGCTAGGGCTCCCAGTCTCTTACAAGATAGGAAAATCTGTACAGGCTGAAACCTCCTGAAGCTGCTACCTGCTGCATGACTTGGCCTTGCTCCCTTCTAGTAGGAGCAGAGAGCTCTGCAGCCCCTGCACAGAAGGAACAATGATCTCCAGTGACATGCTCTCAGTCACTCACCAGCTAGGGGCACAGAAAAGACCAGGACATACACATACAGCAAAGATCTTCAAATCTTGTTTCTTAAGTATTTTTGGATATAACTGTGGGTGCTGAGCACAGTGCAGACTCTCACAGAGGCAGCACACATCTTCCATTGTCCAGCACTTTCCAGACATAACCTTAAACTACTTGGAGAACAGCATGATGAGTACACATACTCAAGAAGAATAAGTTTACTAAAGAATTAATGGAAATTCCCAAACCAACTCCTGACTGCAACAGCAGTCACTTTTAAACCAGTTTCACATACAGCCCTTTTAAGTGCATCACTTCCATTCTCTCCACGCAACAGCAGATGATTATTTCCCTCATTTCAGCCACATGCTCAGCATTGACAGTTTTCTTCCCTTCCATTTACCCTGAAGGACAGAGATAGAATCATCACAGGAGCAATGAGAACAAAGGCCAGTGGTTCACCACTTCCAGTTCTACAATAGCCCACAAGTAAATCAGAGGAGCTGCTGAAGAGGAGCTGCTAGCAACAGACTTTTTGGACAGATACAGACTACCAGCTGGATTCTACCACGTCCTTGAAAGGTGGAGAATTTTCATCAGGTCCACCTTGAAAAACATGAACCTATTCCAGAATAGAGATAGAAAGAAAACGTTGAGAGGTTTTCTCATTCCTTTCATTCATGGAAAAATGGAAAAATATCTCAGCCTACATTAGCCAAACACTTTGAACTGCCTGCTGCAAAAAGAAGCATGCCAACCTCTCAGACATCTTCAAGACAATAGATAAATAAATAAAAGCACAGAAAAATAAACCTAACCAACAAAAAAAAAAGACATTATACCAGGCCACTGAACTTGTTTTGCAGACTGTGGTCTGCAGCCACAGCGTGCAATCAAAGAATGTACAGACCTTATAGTTATGAGGGATACCAGAGAGCTCAGCAATGCAGTTATTACACCAAAGCAAAAAACATAGGACACTTACCCACATCCAGGGCTCACTTAGGAAACACCAGCAGAGTGGATCTCCAGAAGAGACCCCACACCACTAGTAGTCAGCTCTTAAATGGGTCTAGGAGAGGTGCAGCCAGGCTCCACCCCTTCTGGCAGCACAGGTGAATTGCCTTCACCTGTGCTCCCATGGCTGACTCACTGCTCGCCTCAGGTGATTAATCAATCTGCCCTGATTCAGCAGTTAAAATACACATGGTGTTCTAAGATAAATATTTACATCAATTCTCTGCTTCATTGGAATAGAATTCTATATTGGTTGATAGCACAAGTAATTCTGAAAAACATATTTTATGTGAATATAAATTGCGTTTTTGTCTCTGCTCACCTCTTTCTACATGTCTAGAAAGCGCACAGAGAAACACACAAAAGTAGATCCCGTCCCAAACCATCCCACTGTGACAAATGCAGGAACTTATCAGAGGAAGGAGAACACACAGAAGTGCGAAGAATCACACTCAAATCCAATAACAGCACATAGCCGTTAGTGATCTCCTGAATTTTTGAAATGCTTAAGTAATATCATGATCCCTTCCTGATTCCATGAATTTTCAAAACGGAGAACAGCTTAATATGATTACTATCAGACTGGGAGTCTTGGAATAAAGTTTCCAACAGAAGTACCTTTTGTCCCAAAATTATAAAATCTTCATCATGAACAGTGAGCAAAGAAGTCTTAGGTTGTGTACTGAAATGTTTTCATCAAGGCCGAGATTCAGCAAAGTATTTTGAAACATAGGAGCTTCCACTGAGACTCCAAAATGAGGAAAAATAAAGTTTGCCTACAGACCTGGAAACACATCATCACCTGTCACTGTCCAGGGTTCTTGCGTAGGTGGCCATATTCAGGCAAGACAAACACACACATCCTGTTCACTGGTGGTCAGTTAATTTCACAGCACTTGGACAAGCAGAGACAGTTGCTTCAGTGGCTACTCAGCATCTCAGTAATGAAAGCCTATTAGCAATTCTATACCATTCTACTCAAACGAGGTCCCCTTTTGCTGCTTAAGGTAAATAGCAGCCCTATACTGCTTCTGCAGTGGCTGGCTTTGCAGCAGACCAGACCACTGCACACTTAAGATCGAATAGAAAATATTAAATGCATCAATGAAGGAATGCTGCCAACGTCAGGGAAAGCTTCACTAAATAGTGATCATGCATGTGGGTAGCATAGAATCATAGAATCATTAAGGCAGGAGAAGACCTCTAGGATTATCTAGTCCAAGAGACAGAGGGAAGCGTGAACTTTTATTGAATGATAAACCTTCACAGTGTATGAGCCTGGGGCTGCATGCCATGGCCAGAGCCACCCAATGGGCCTGTGGTGCAGGTGATTGGTGTGAAACACTGATGCTGAACACACGAGATGTGGGGGAGAATGGAGCGGGCAGCGGTGCCGGGGAAAGCCCAGGAACGTGTGCTGGGGCTGCAGTGCTACTGGCACACGTGCAGCAGGTGAGGCCGGCGCACGGTGATGACCAAGCAATGGATGGCGACATCGCTGTGGGACGGGTGGTGATGTCCCCCAGTGAAGGTGAGGACTGGCAACACGGCCAAGCCGTGGTTTGTGACATCTCCGTGCGATGCATTGTGACTGCTTGGCCCACGCTGCTTTAACGCGGGCGCGGCAGCCCGGCCCAGCAGTTCGTGCCTGGCCTCCGACTGAGCGTGTGTGCGAGGACTGGAGTGTGGACAGGGCGAGCTTTGGAGCTGGAACGTGCTCTGGGTGCTGCTGGCGCAGCTCTCAGACGCGTCTCAGAGCCACTTGTGTTGTATCCTGACCCTGCTGGCAGCAGGCAGCCGGGACATCGCGGAGAGGCGCGTGCAGCAGCGCAGGTAGGCAGCGTGGCAATGCCTCACGCCGGCAGCCGGGGGGATTCTTGAGGGACCCTCCCCAAGCCGGCCCATGCCCATGGGGTCTCTTGTCCTCTTCCAGAGTGACACCTGCTGTAACAGGATCTCAGCTGGGGAGCACATTGTCATCTCCCGCTCCCCCAGGTCCACCACAACTGGTGGAAGCATGGAGGTGGCATTACATACCCACAGCCCCACAGGCCTGGAGAAGTGGGACGGCATGGCATGCACCGTGCCATGCTGCCACCAGTTTTGTTTCCACTGCACCCAGCCGTGCAATAACAGCAGGCCCCAGTGTCCACTCTGCAAACAGGGCAATCCATTATCCATGCAGTGCGGGCGTACAGCGACTGTGAGGAGCTGGTCCTCAGGACAGCCAAAGTGCCATCCCTTGCCACATATTGAACCAGTCTAGCTTTCTCGTGGCATCTCGTGGCACCAACTAATCACAAGTTGGCTACAAGTTACATGGGCAACAGAAACGTGCAATTTTTATTTCCCTGACAGGAAATAGCAACAGGGACCGGGAGGGTTTGCTGCTGAGGGACCGGGGCAGTGAGTGACCGTGGCCTCTCTCTCTCTTTTGCAGTTCATAACACCTTCTGCTTGCTGCAGCACCAGGGGAGCAGCTTCCCGACCTCAGCTCTCCCCAGCCCACCGCACAGCCCGAGGCCATGGACGTGGCATCCGAATGGATCTGCCCCATCTGCGGGCAAATTCGGGAAGATGTCACCTACGTGACCCCCTGCCAACACCAGCTGTGCTACGGCTGTGCCATCTGGTGGGCAAATAAGAAGCCGAGTTGTGCCGTATGCGGGCACGAAATAACAACCATCCGATACTCGGTGAGGTCGGATGACGATTACCTGGAGTGTGCGGTCCCGCAGCCCGCAGCGCACTCAGATCAAGGCCTGCAGGACGAGCAGGGGCCTGCAGAGCCGGTGCTCATCCCACCTGAGCACAGCTTCCCAGCCGAGGTCTGGGCTGCATTTTTCAGGGAACATCCGGAAGACCTCGAACCTCTGCTCCAATGGCTGCAGGAGGAGATCCAGCAGGTGTCCAGCGATGACTGGTGGGAAGTCTATGCGGGACAGTGCACCACTGTGAACTTCTTGTGTCAGCATGGGCTGGACGAGGAGGCCTTGGTGCAGGCGCTGCAGCTCATCACCAATGGCGACGTGGTGCCCTTCGTCAGAAGGCTCATCAGCACCGCGGCAGCCCTGTACGGCCCCATGATCCACCACGAGCTGGACCACCAAATCAGCCATGCTGCTGGAGGACGGGAGGACAGCCCTGCAGCCAGCCCCATCACCAGCACCTCCCACCACGAGCCTCTCGCCTCGGGCCCAGGTCGCTCCACCAGCCCCGCAGGGCCCAGCACCGAGGAGCCGCCCGGCGGCTCTACTGGGGGACCCGGGCACCCCAGCACCGCCACCGCGCCCTCGGCGCAGGAGCCGCAGGAGGAGCCAGGGCAGGCGGCGGCAGCGGGCCCCTCCGCCCGGGGCAGGGACCGCTCGCGTGGGGGGCCCCGGCGCCCCCCGAAGAGGAAGGCCAGCAGCAGCCGCCAGGACTCGACCCCACCCCGCAAGAGGCGGCCCCGGCGGCGGCGCTAGGCCGGCACCGCACTGCCGTCAGAGCGCGGCTCCGGCGGGCTGGGAGGACAACATCTACCTCTCGGCCTGCTGCTCACAGACAAAATAAACATCTATTACAATGAAAAATAAAAAGTCTCTGTGTTATTGACAAGGCTGTTGGCGTTGCTTTCCCCCTCTTCTGGTCCTCAGTGAAGGCGTAGAAGTGCAACTTTACTTCCACCACCATGAATCGGCACTCATGGCAGTGCTAACAAAACACGTGAGGGCCCCAATAAGTTGTGAGATGGAGCACAAGTTACTCCAATAATCCCACCATTTAAACTAGTGGGGGGAAGGGCAAATTTCTGCACTGGGGTGGAACAGCTCCTGGCCACAGCACCGCCGGGGCCACCCAGCTGGACAGGACCCAGGAGTCCTGACGGACACTTGGCTGAACCAGCAAGGAGCGCTGCCCGCAAAGGTGAGCGCTGTGCTGGGCTGCACGAGGTGCCAGCGTGCTGCCAGCGTGCAAAGGGCGGTGATCCTGCCCCTCTGCTCAGCTCGAAGGAGGCCGCAGCTGGAGTGCTGGGCCCAGCGATAGGCTCCCCAGCGCAAGGGAGACCTGCCCTTGATCATCTTGTGCATCCTCAGCCCTGGCATGTGCCAACTGACCCTGTCCCAACCACCTAGGTGTTGTTCGGCTTCGTGCTGAGTTTGGAGGGCAGCGGGGCTTGCTGTGAGGAGCAGGGCTTGTCCCCAGTTTCAGAGAGGAGCCAGTCCACCACGCCACGCAGGTGTGACGTTCTCTCCTGCCTCACAACTACTGACCCACCTATCATCAGGTTTGCATGTCATGGTAAGCTTTTGGCTTCACAGTTGTTAAAACAAGGGAACAAACAAAAATCCAGGCACCCCTGCCACACACATTCTCTGTGACACAAGCTGATCTACAGCCATGACTAGAATTGAAAGAACAGATAGTTACACGCGGTCCAAACCTAACCTCAACTATCTCTGCTCCTCCTGCAGCTGTCATCACAAGCACATCGATTCTAGGCTTCTGTCTGCATTTACTTACTTTTTGTTGGACATGATCCGTTTCAGTATTTCGTACTTGTTGTGCACAGAGTATTTGTTTTGGTATTTACTTGGTTTTTTTGAAGTACTCATCAATGAGCTGGACTACTAATCACAGTTACATTTGTTTACTTGCTTGAATAATGAAATTATGGGAAGTTCCTTCATAAATACAAGCAAGTCTGTAATGTTTGGAAGTTGGTTTTTTTCCAAACTATTTGAAGATAAAATAAAAACAAAGCCTTAAAAAAACCCAGACCTCATTGGAAGAAATTTTGATCTCACTGACTTCAGGAGCTCCAGTTTTTCACTCCTACATAATGAGTCTGTCTGTTAATGACATGAAGAAATCTGTTTTCATTATTCTGTTTGAGTCAAAATTTAAAATGCAGCCTCAGTTCCTCTGTCTGAGTGGAGCAGATTAGAAGTGACTTTAATGAGAAGACGACACACACCTTGTACTCAAATTCTGCAAGGCTCAAGGAAAAAACATGAGCAAGGTTGTCACTGGGAAAGCAAGAGCCCATTAGTTGTCACCAGGGTGGGTTGGAGCCTTGTCTCAAAATAACATTAAGCTCTCAAAGCCCTCAAAAATAGAGAAAATCCTGGCCTAGCAGAAAAGATCCCACAGAAGATTCTCAGATTAATTCTCCAAGTCCTTGTGCATCAGTACAAACAAAACACCTTTCGCAATTTTCCATGGGAAAGAGATAAAAGGCACAATGAAATAGGCAGCAGCTCTGTGGGCTCAGAGGCTCACTGGGAATGCTGAAGACAGAGGTGCAAGTGCCTACAGCACTGATCGTCACTTGAGCCTCTGACTTACAACAGTGATCTGCAGTCGGTAGCAAAAACATCCCCTAATAAATTAAGACTGAGGATGGTAAACATTAGACCCTTTTAATTCTTCACCCCTGCCAAAACTGATACGCACAATCCATCAGCAACTTGCCCTCTTGATGAAACAGCACATGTGAGTCACTTCTCACCCAACCGGTCAGAAAACACCTACACTGTGGGAGAGGTGAGAGGATGAAGAACTGTTAGCAAGCCCTGAGTCTGGAGGTCTTTTGCTGGTTTAACCTGCTTGCTGCCTGGCTTTGAGGAAGTGGACTTTCAAAAGAGCTGTGGGACCACTGAACTGCCTGGTAGAGTGGCTTCTCTCATGTGAAACAACTGCATTATCAGCAAACTTTCTTAACCTCAGTGCTCACATCCTTTTCCACATCATTTATTTTCAGCAGCACAGATCCCTGCAGAACCTGACTTGTAACAACCCATGAACAGAGAACTGACCATTTACAATTGCCTTCTTTGTCCTGTCCTTTAGATATGTGTACATGCTGTAACCTTTCTTAACCTTACCTTTCCATCAAAAATTCTGATAGGAAACATGGTCAAAAGCCTCCTGGAAATGTAAATAGACTGTATCAGTCAGATCATCACTCTCCATGTGCTTTAACTGCTCAAATGTAAAACATCATTGCAATTTGAAAGCCATTACACAAAGAGGTGATGTGGTCTGTAAATAAACCAAGAACAACTGTCCAACTGCAACTCTTCACAGTCATTTCAGTTGATTCCTGCATAGACTCTTCCCACACAGAAACTGCTCCACGTGACACATAATTCTTGTCACTCCTTTATTTCATGACTACCTTGCTATACCTATTCTGGGAAGAGGCAATCAGAACTCTGAACTGTGTCTAAGGGTGTGGACGCATACCAGATAAAACATGGTTGCAGAAGGGTGCTCTTGCAGTGCTTTAGAAGTCAGCCAATGCAGCCAGCTGTGCAATAGTGGGTGCTGAGACACTTTCAGTGCCTCCTGTGTAGCACGCACTGTGCATGGTACAGGTGTGTCGTGGCACATGCCTTTCAAAAACTCAAGGGAGAATTTTTAGACAGTGGTCTGCAATTAATAAGGAAAGAAGAAAAAAAAAAGGACAGTATCAATTTCTTAGAAGTACTGGAAACGTTACAGCAATTTAACTCTAAAAATATATTGCTCTACTGTATCACTAGGGGCTAAATACAGTCCTATCAAAACTGCACTGACTTTGTCAGAGCCAGGCTAGAGCTAGGTAACTTCAGCTCTGTCTCAGACTGGGGAAAAGGCAATGTGCTTTCCTGCTCTATTTAGCCTAGATTTTTATTTTCTTGCAGCTGATCCTCCTATCCCACACATGTTTAGGCAGCATTGGTCTTATTCTCTCATGATTTTTTCCAAAAAATCATAACAATTTTCCTTTATTTTATATTCTATTACAGCAGGTGAAGCATGTTTGCAACATCAGAAAGACACAGATAAACAAGTAGATCCCCATCTGATTTATATTACCAAGAAGCCTCATAGTCTAGAAAAATCAAAATGCCCTTAAGGTGCTTTTAAGCCAGGTTTCAAAAACCTAACAGTTTTCAGTAGTTCCCTCTTTGCTTTAAATATTTGATTCCTGGAACAATCTCACTAGAGGTTAGTTGCCTGCTCACAGAGCAACATACCTCCAATAAACAAGTTGCAAAAAGGTTCTGCTGGAAAGGAGCAGCCAATAATAAATACCAAGCATAATTCATACACAATTTCATTTTTTAAAGAAAAATCTTAATATATTAATATATATTCTAAAGCCTAAGAATCTTACATACACAAAAGGAAAGCAAATAATTGAAGCTCGTGGTAATCTGAAGTTTCTGTGCCAGACATTGTCTCGTCATTCTGAGGGGATTCATATACTTAAAAATGAAGCTTGAAGATTTGCGGTGTTTCCTTTTAAATTAGGTGAGTCACTACAAAGACTAACTGAGAGCTGTTCCAGCCTTAGTTACAAAAATCAAGTAAAAAAGTCTAAAAGAATCCTTGCATACAAATACTGGGGAAGAACAACACTTGCCAATGCCTTCAAAAGCAGTTTCCCAGGATACCTTATTAATTAGTTCCCTGAGCAGCCTGAAATCTGCTCTCCCTACATTCAGGGTTGAAGTTTTGGTGGTAGTTTGCCTCCTAGCAAAGATTTTAAACTCAACTACTTCACAGTCATTATGATCTAGATAGCCACTTCACCCATGTAAACCCTCTCTATTTAAAAGAGGAGCATATTTCCTAGTCAGCTCTCTCTGTATCTGTACCAAGAAGTTATCATCAAAGTATAGGATGAATGTCCTGTACTTGTTTGCATCAGCAAGTTGAAGTCGCCCATAAGGGCAAGGGCAGCTGATCCAGAGGTATCTCTTTAGGTCTTAGTAATAAGCTCTTAGTAATCAGGCTGAGAGAGTTGTGGCTGTTCAGTCTGGAGAAGAGAAGGCTCTGAGGAGACCTCACAGCAGCCTTGCAGTATCTGAAGGGGCCTACAGGAAAGCTGGGGAGGGACTTTTTATAAGGGCATGTAGAGACAGGAAAGGGGAGATGGCTTTAAACTGGAAGAGAGTAGATTTAGACTAGATATCAGGAAGAAATTCTTTACTGTGAGGGTGGTGAGACACTGGAACAGGCTGCCCAGCGAGGCAGTGAATGCCCCTTCCCTGAGGCTTTCCAGGCCAGGCTGGATGAGGCTTTGATCAACCTGGTCTAGTGAGAGGAGTCCCTGCCTGTAGCGGGGGGTTGGAAGTAGATGATCTTAAAGGTCCCTTCCAACACAAACCACTCTATGATTCCATGATTCTTAAAGAATAATTCATTGCTATCATTGTCCTGTCTGGGTAGCCCATAGCAGACTCCTACAACAACATCTCCATTATTTGCTTGTCCTTTAATCCTTACCTAGAGGCTCCCAACCATGCCATCACCAGTTGCCAGCTCTGTACAGCCCAGCCACTTTCTCACACACAACCACCTCCTGACCTCACCTGCCCTGCTTGTCCCTGCTGAAGAACCCAGAACAGTACATAGCAACACACCAGTCACAGGGCTTTGCCCACCAGTTTTCACTGATGTCAGTGATGCTGTAGCTCTGGGACTGAACCAAAGCTTCTGGCTTCTCTCACTTGCTCCTCGTGATGGGTGCATAGGTTTGATAATGTTTGATAACAACATTTCAAAGGTGCTTCACTGTAGCCAGCACCTCCTGAGCCTGACTGAAGGATCTCTCTAGCACATAGTCCTCAAATTTTGTCGTGCCATCCTGTAACTCATCAGGTTCACCATGTGAGCCTGGTTTTATTCCTTTTCCCCACGGAATCTGATTTAAAGTTCTACTGATCAGCCCAGGTAACTCTTGTACAAAAATCCCATGAGAAAAGTACATCCCATTAGATGCCAGCAGGCCTGGTGTTGTGTAGACCATCCCATGATCCAGAAACACAAAACTGTGTCAGTGATACCAGCCTTGGAGCCACATGCAGATCAGCTGGGTCTGCCTGTTCCTGTCAGTATTGCTTCCTGCTACCAGAAGGCTGTAAGAAAATGCTGCTGCCACCTGACTGACAGGAAGCTTGAGCACACCCTGGGTGGTCAAGGTGGTTCCCCTTCGAGCTCAGTTTGGGTGGCTGCAACTGGAGGGGATGCAGGGCTGACAGGGGGTACAGCTTTCTGCCAAGTGGGTGCCATGACTACAGAAGAAAGCCTGTTTCTTCTCCAGGATTGTGCAGCCAAAGTACTTCACAGCTGTTACTGAATTCTCAATTGCCCTTGATGAAATGAGAATGTTTTTTGCTAGTATCTGACATAGGAAAGAAAACAAGGACTAACCACCTTTTTTCAAAAAGCAGACTGCCACATCTGCAAGTACAATTTACTCCAGTGGGATGTGAAGAGCAAAGGAACTCAATCTAAAGCCCAAGGGAAAGTAAATCCTCTTACTATTCTCTACACTTACAGCTGCTGCTGGGCCACACCTCAACATCCAAGGAGGATCGTGGAAGATCTTCTAACTTAACTACAACAGGAAATTGTGGCTGCATTCAGTAGTAGTCCCACATCTAAGGGGCATCACATTCTACATTTGTGCTCCCTTAGGGGATACGGCCCTCAATGCTGATTGTTGCACAGTACTGCAGCTTCTTCCTCCTCTACCCTCTATGGCATCAGGGAAATTCAATAGTTCTTGTAGAACTGGTAGGCCAAAGGTATCTAAACATCACAGTCTCTCCCTGTAAAATCAACTGTACAACATAATATCTTGACAGCTGTTGGACAGTAGTGGGATCAATTAGACCAGATAATGCTTTAGCTTTAGATTAAAAGGTAGATTACAGAAAGATTACAGACAAATACCTGCTTAGGGTATTGTCCACCGATCATCCCTCTGTACAGTGTCCTGGGCAGGGTGCTGAGCCCAGAATTAACCTCTCAGCATTGACTCCAGAGCTGGGAACATTCAGTGTGAGGGATTGCTCCTCCCTGCTGCTCCCCATGGAGCCTGCAGCCACAGGCAGCCACAGTGCCATCAGACCCACATCCCATCAGAGTGCCGGTCCCTACACAGCTCCTAATGCACGTGAGACACAGAAAAGAAAGGGCCTCTGAGCAGCTACCTGGCAGTTAACCACAGTACAAACAAAAAGGAAGGAAATCCAGTTTTCCATTAAAAAAAAGCTCTTGAGAACCAACAAAGAAATGTTAATTTCTGTCTTTTTTTGCCCAGGGCTCACTGGTAAATTACTACTAATACTGAAAGGTTTTCAACCACACAATTGTTAGAGATTTAGCCATCTTACTTCCTGTCTTTAGCCACGGACGTAATGCAAAGCTCCAAAGAAGCTGAAAAACAAAAACAAAGAGCATTAAAGAAACCCAGAAACAAAACGCTGTCAAATGATTTTCGTAATGTCTGGCATAGCAACAGAAAGCCAAAAGTGCATGACTTCCCCACAGTTCTGAGATATGACTGAATTAATTTTTGCTTTATTTCATTGCTATGCCATCTCAGAACTTCTGGACTGTAGTTTCAGTACAGCCTTCTTTATAACACTTTATAGGGACAACCAAGAAACACCTGTCCTCAAATTACATTAAACTTAATTTGTCATCTCAGCATGACTGCCCTAGGCCTCCAAATTACTATAGGTGTCAACAGCCCTTCCATTCAGAGCTGCCAGAGCATTAAACACCCGTGACTGTTTCCATTCTAGTCAATCCAGAATCAGTTGATAACAGGGATGCACTAGGCACGTGCCAGTTCCATCGCCATCATCATCATTATTTATTAGAATTATTATTTATTGTTATTTAGAGCAGTAGCAGGTAGACTCAGCATTTTGTGGAGATTTACTGGAAAGAAGCTGTTTGTTTGTCTAACAAAGTATAGAAAACTGCCTTCAGGCCCAAGGAGGAAACTTCAGCCTTGAAGTGACCATGCTACCACCAAAGTTGTTCTGCTTCTCCACACACTGCCATTTCCCACCTCTCTTTCCAAAGAGACACTTTACAGAAAGCTGCCACGTATGGGTCTGTCTCTTGTGGACGAACATGCTGGCCAGCAGAATTACAGAACAGAATCATAGATCATTAAGGTTGGAAAGACCTCTAAGATCATCAGTCCAACTGCCAATCCATCACAAGCATGCCCACTAACCATGTCTCTCAGTGTCACATCTGCACATCTCTTGAACTTGTCCAGGTCCGTTTCTAATAGGCAGCTTTCCAGTCACTCTGCACCAAGCCTGTAACGATGTATGGGGTTGTTGTGATCAAAGTACAAGACACAGCACTTGGTCCTGCTGAACAATTGGCCTCAGTCCATCAATCCAGCCTATTCAGATCCCTCTGCAGGGCTTTCCTACCCTTAGGCAGATCAACCTCCCTCCCAGCTTGGTCAGATCATCCATAAAGATATTTAAGGAGAAACAGAAGGCACGAGTCAGACTGCCTCTTTCTCTGAAAGGGCAAACAAGGATGCACCGGTGATTTAAAAAAATCAGATTCCTTGACAACCACCATAGAGAGGAATAAAGGTTGATTTCTGTACTTGCAGAGGGCTAGAGTTCCAGGATATGCCAGCATTACACACCATTGTAAAAACTCAAAGGTTTTACAATACTAAAGGGAGTATGATTATTTTGTTTGCAAGAGAGGCATAGGACTGATGCAAACATAGCCTCAGAAGTCCTTCCCAGGAACCTTATCAAGGAAACTCACTGTGGGCTTTAGCACAGAATTAAACAATGCCACCCTGGCCATTGTGTTTCTTTTTGATCTACAATAGTCTTGGCCCTCAGCTTCCACCAGGAAACAGAAACAGGCTACTGGATTCCTTACTGGACACTTCATCACATTTCTAGAGCTTGACCTCCAGCTGTAGAAAGACCCCCCCCCCTTAAACATAAGCTAGCTGTGGGCTGCTGTTACCTCCCATATGGACTTGCTGCTGCTGTTCTGTTAGTGCCGAGCCCTGAACTCTGCGGCACCCACTCAGCACTGCGAAGAGTGCAAGAATTCCCTAGAATGGGAAAGGCAGTTATTCATGATTTAGGGTTGGTCTTATGTAAAGATGCTACATTAGCCATTTCTATTTTAGAACAGCTTTCCTAATGAAAATAATAGAATGCATTAAGAAGTTGTGCAGTCTTCCTTGCTGTTAGTATAACAAACAAGTTTGACAGAAGCGGGCTGACCTCTGCAGAGCTGAATGGACTGGATGCTTTGTGCCTGTCCTTCTAGGTTATATATTTCTGCAGCTGCGTCACGTTTCCTCCGCGCTACGCTGCCTTTTAAGCACCGACGCCGCAGCAAAGAAAGGCGTTTCTCCACCGTCTGCGTTATCAGCCACATCCCTGCCTCTCCAGGCCCGCGCCCGGAGCGCCGCGCCGCCGCTTCCCGTCGCAGGGTGTGTGACTTTCGCGCAGTCCCGCTTACCCTGCGCAAGAGCCGACGGAGGAGCGACAGCCGCAGCCCGAGCCGCTTCCTCCACTTCCGAGCAGGCGCAGCGGCGGGGCGCGGCGAGACCTCCGCCGCCGGGCCGCGGGGCTCGGCAGGGGCCGGCGAGGCGGCAGGACGGAGCCCGCAGCCACGGTAAGGCTCGACGGAGCGGGGCAGAGCGGGCCGGGCAGCCGGCTGCCCCGCCGAAACCGAAAGTCCCGCGCCGCCCCCATCTTGCGGCGACGCCGGCTCGCGGCTCCCGGGCCGGCCTCGGTGCCCGCCGGGCTGACAGCCCCGGGAGAGGAGAGGAGAGAAGAGAAGAGGCGAGGCGAGGCGCGGCGTGCGGCACGCGGGAACGGTGAGAGAGCGGGGAGGCGGCACGAGCGGGGCCGGCGGGCAGGAAGCCGCCGGGAGGAGCCGGAGGAGGACGCGCTGCCGGCCAACGAGAAGTAGGCCGGAGCCAAAGCCCGGGTCCTGACAGACAGGCTGTCCGTGTTGTCCCGCGGAGGGATGCACGTCTTTGTGAGCGTTTATAAAGCGACGGTGATACGGCTGTACTGCTGCAAAGCGCCCCGCAGACCCTCTCTGCTCTCCCCTTCCCATCTCCCTCTGCTCTTCTACCAGAGCACTCAGCGTATCCCTACTGTCTGCTTCCTTTAGTTTGGCTTCTCTGTTCATTCCCATGGACTCCCCTTCCTAGACTGCCCATGCAATGCGTATTTATCTTCGCTGTTTCCAAAAGTAAAGAAGTAAATGCTCCTCAGTGAAAAAAAACACCATAGAGAAAAAGAAAAAAAAAATAGCAGAATAGAAAGGTTTAGGTTGAGTGGGTTATGAGAGCTACAGTGATAGAGCTGTGAGGCACTAACAGGATTTGAAACATTTGCACATGCATAATTTTGTTCTCCGCTGCTGCAGCCCTTCCATCTTTCTCCCCCATTTGCCCATATCAGTGATACCAGTTCCAGTTTGTTATTCTCCATTCTTCACTGCTAACTAAGTGACCAAGAGCTTTAGGTAGCTACAGACTCGGCCCCTTGCTTTGATTGTGTCTGGCAATGCCTCCCAAGAAGTCACCTGCTCCAAGTAGCATTAGACCTAAAGGCCTGTAGTTACAGGTTGACTTTCTTCATCTTACCACATATTAATACAGCCAGCAGTGCTCCTTAACCATGCATGCCACACAAGGCCTACGTCAGATCGGTATCAAACCAGTGGAATGGAGCGAGCTGCTTTCCAATGCCAGTTACACCCATATGGCTGGTGAGCAGGGCACGGTTCTAGGGAGTTTTTGCTGCTCTCAGGAGTCAGAGGGGAGAACATAACCAGGGGGTTAAAAAGAAAACTGCCACAGAACCACATATTATACTTCTGTTGCTCTCCAAAGAAAAGCCAAGAATGCTGGTGGATAAAGAGATCCCTCTCTTTTAGCAACCGTTGTTCAAAGATTTCATAGTACGTATGCACAGTTGTTAAATATCAATCATCTCTAATACAGATGCTCAGAGTAGTATGTTGGAAATAATGTGTTTTGTAATCGACCAACTATACTGGTGAGAGTGACTTTATAGGATACAAACTGCCTGCAAGAAGTAGAATTGGCCTGTGTAAGGCTAGGCTGAGCTGACCCACAAAACATCTTTTCTCTCAATCACAGACACTTAATGTATGTATTGATGTATCACAGGTGCTAAGGGTACGTCTGAATCACCATGTATCTCAAAAAGAAGTAAGCTCTGCATGGACCTGAGCCCTCCTCCTTGATTTCTGCACTATCTGACACTTCCAGGTAACAACAGTCAGTATCTTGTTAGGTAGCATACTGAAATAAGTAGTCTTTAAATAATACATCTACATATGTAATTTGTGTTCAGAAGAGCAGTACGTGCAATTCTTGCATGAGCAGTTACTACTTAGATGTGATATTACCGTTAGCATGCATAATTTACTATGGATCATAGAATCATAGAATGGCCTGGGTTAAAAAGGACCACAGTGATCATCGAGTTTCAACCCCCCTGCTATGTGCAGGGTCACCAACCACCAGACCAGGCTGCCCAGAGCCACATCCAGCCTGATGTTAAAGTCTCATGACTGAATTCAGGCCTTTGTACTCATGACACCTATACCCATCAGCAGCATCTCACCAAGAACACCAAGGAAGCCATAAGCCCATCACTGGGAACTTTCAAGGAGATAAGAGCAGCAGGGATTCCCAGCAGCACAAGGTGCCGTATCATCAGTCCTGTGCTTACTAGGCAGGCTATCACTCCAACAAAACACAATCAGCATTCTTTCAAGTCTAGGAAAGCCAAAGAAAAAAACTCTGAGAAGAGCAAACTGCTTCAACTGTAAGAAGGATTTCCTGTTGTCTGTATGACAACAGATCATAGCATATACATATACAGGGAAGGAACTGTTGTTTTCTGTATTCTACAGAATACAGAAAGTTATTATTCTTTAATCTTCCCTATTTTGGCTTGTCAGTATTGAAACGATCAGCTGGTTTCCAGATCTGCACATGAACATCTCTCTTCCTTCAGCTCCTGAATGAACTAATCTTTTGCTGCTGAAAGTGCCTCTGTTACAGCTGTCACAGCCACCCGGAACAAACTACAACTGCACAACCCTTCTGGTCTCTTGGACTTTGCCTCTTATTAGAAAACTTTTCCTTTACGTGACATAACACGATTACCTCCTGAGACACACGTCAGGCAAGAGAGTACTGGAGCTTTATCAAAAGCTTAAAATGGTTTGGGTATTCACTGGGGTGACTCGCCTACCCATTTCAAGGATTCCCCAAGTTCTCAGTCTTTTTTGTTGTTGTTGTTTTATTCAGGAGTTACTGCAAGCCTTCATAATTTCTCCATCTTTTATTCTTTTTTTCCAAGGGATGGGTACAAGAGAGTGTTGCCTTATATCCCCCCACCACAGTCCTTGCCAGTGTTTGCTCCTTAAATTGAGGCAGCTGTGAAAAGGAGTTTTCTACAGAAGCTGGGTTCTCTCTTTCATCATCCAGAGAAAACTTCCCTTTGTTTTAAACTTAAACTCTTGAAAGCTGAATTTGCAAAGATGCTTAAGATGTAGCTTAGAGTTATATAACTATCTAGGCATGTGGTACACCCACATTCAATCAATATAGAAAATAAATTGCCTCTCAGAATTGCTATCCACAACCTGCCCTTGGAACTGTGGCCCTTGGTTTTTCAGGTTCTCAGTTTTTGCAAGCGAAGCATGAGGTACAAGGACAGTACCAATCCACTATGTATTATATGGATAAGAACACATATTATTACTATTAGCAGTGATTTGCAGCAATCAGGTGAAGAAACAGTTTAACATCAGTTTAATATAACTGTAATGTATTGATAGAATACATCATTTGTGATCTTATGGTCTCATCCTATAAAAGAACAACAGTATCTTTAGTTTCACACTGAGGCCCTTTGAAATGCAGCTAGTTCAGAGGAATTACAAGAGTATACATGCCAGTGTCCTTCTCTATATAGAGGCTTACTTAGTGAAACAGCTAAATGCTGAATAATGACACTTTCTTTTCCTCTCTCCTATAGATCCAGAAGCACTAGGGTACTTCGTTTCCTTTTTACTGCTAAGCCACGAAGCCTGCAAACATGTCACTGGATGACATCCACATGAGCACAGAGGATTTGCTTGACAAACAACAATTAGATGCTGGAGGATACGGAAAAATTTCGTTATGCCTTCACAAGACATATGGATATGTAGTATTAAAAACAGTGTATACAGGACCTCAGCGCACTGAGTAAGTTGAAGATGTGTTCTTTCAGTCTAATGAGTCCTCTAAACTCATTGGAGATGAATCTAAATAAAAGTTTATAATTTAAGATCTTTGGATTCTGGAGATACTGGGGGAAAACACTCTTAATACAGCACTAGCAGCTTTCCTTCAAATTTTCACTTTTCCCTCATTAGTCACCTTTTCTGCAGTTTTAACTCACTACAGTGAAGTTCCCAGGTTTGTTGTTTTGGTTTGTTTTTTTTGCAAGGTGTGTGCTGCTGTGAACTGTTAAGTCTTGCACACCTAAGCAGATGCAGGAACTCAGTGACATGTTATTTTCAAGTTTGCTGATCAGTTTTCAAACGTAGATGTCCACTAGGAACTAAACAGACACTGTCTATCAGCAGTACTCCAGCCCTACAGTTATGATACCAAGAATGTAGCTCTCTCTTCTAAGAAGGACTGTGAGCTAAATCCACTGATTTAATTCAGGGATTGAACTAGCTGTTGATTTCAGGTTACATTCTAGCTCTACTTCCTCATAGTCCTAACCATCATAGTTACCATAATAACCATCATCATTGTAGATGACTCAAGGGAGTCATCTACTAGAGAGACAAAAACCCATGTTCTTCTAAGTTGAGTTAGGATAAATCATTTGAGACTTTATTTTGCCAGTGCAAAGCGAATTAAGAGATTCTGGTGGTTTGCAGATTGTACTGATGGCTGGGACAAACAGTTAAAATGAACGAGCTTGCCAGCTTTGTTTCTGGTTTTGTTCTTTTTCAGTCTCATTGTCCAGGCTCTTTATGTTTTTTAAAAGTCTTGAATCAAAAGTCTTTGTTTGCTTAAAGCAAACAAAACAACTACCTTCTCTAGTACTGGAGAGGAAGACAAAGGGAGAAAGCAGTTTCCCTTTTAGTCACAGGCTAGTTAAGCATTAGTGAGCAATACAGTCTCAAGCTGTTCTTGCTTCCATTTGCCTGTGACTTAACGGGAGTAATAGTAAAATACCATCCCTTCTTATATTTAAATGCATGGATACCTTCTTTGTCTAATTGTGAGCTCCTGTCTGCATACCTGTAACTACTGGTGAGTTGTACTATGGCCCACATGACCAGACTTTGAGTTCACTCTAAACCCATAGTAAATGTTATCAGCATCCAGTATGTGGATAGACTCCTCTATAGTAAATCCACTGTACCAGCTCAAAACAAACAGAAGAAGTGGTTCATCTTACAGCAGCTGTGGGGAGGTTGACATTTGGCTATCATTTTCATGATGAATCAACAAGTGTTTTCATTCCTGTGTTTTTTCCTAGCCCACATTCAGAGTAATTGCTTTTTTTGCAGATGTAATGCTTCCCTCCTTGAAGAAGGCAGGATTATGCGCAATCTGCAGCATGACCGTGTGGTAAAACTACTAGGTGTAATTTTGGAAGATGGAAACTACTCACTCGTGATGGAGTATGTGCACCGGGGCAACATGATGAAAGTGCTCCAAAAAGTAAGCAGTGAATTGCTTCATCCCTTGCTGCTCCCTTCGGCTGATGATTGAGAGGGACAGGATGTTATTGCCATCTGCAGAGGATGCAGTCCTTTTAGTTTCTGATTCTCCTTTCCGTATTAAAGGGCCAGCAGCACCCTGTCTGCTCTAGAGATGGCAGGTCATAAAAGCAGAATACAGCTTTGGCTTCCCTGTGCATTGCAGAGGAATGGACCACAGTTGTAGGTTCAGAGTTAATGGAGTATGTTTGTAAAAATATCTGAAGAATTTTCTTAAAAAGAGTGCTTTTGTAAATATGGGGCAACTCTAAAACTATCATAATGGAATAATTTAGATTCAGGAAGGACCTTTAGTTCATTTCATACCCTGAATTCAGCAGAGGCATTCATAAGACTAAGAAACAAACTTGGTTAAATACTGTTTCTTATTGATGGTTGTAATAGCATTCTTCAACATACGGTTTTCCTTCATTTCAGCTCCCAATACCTTTGTCAGTGAAAGGGCGTTTCATCCTGGAGATCATAGAAGGAATGCTTTACCTACATGAGCAAGGCTTAATACACAAAGACCTAAAACCAGAAAACATCCTTGTGGATAAAGACTTCCACATTAAGGTGCGCGTTAAAGTGAAAATGGAGAATGCTGGTAATTTGCATCATAGATCACAGTGCGTCTGCATTCGGATGGTATTCCTTATTGGTAGATGAACTCTTCTGTATTGCATTGAGCTATCGCTAGGACAATATTAGCAGTGACCTACACACAAGCTGTGCACCTGAGATTTGCATAATCTGCCCCCATCTGTGGAAAAAAAAATCCCTACAGCTATTAAAAACTGAGCAATAGTAGTGAGAATTAGTGAATAATGAAACAGCTAGAAAGAAAAACTTTAGCATTCATAATTTGAATCAAAAAGTCTCTTAAGGATCATGTCTTTTGTCCTTTATTGCTGGAATTTCTCATTTTGCCTCTAACTCCTTTTTCTTCTTCTCCTTATTATCTTGTCCTCTTTTGTCTCCCTCTTTTTTCCCCTTAGTCATCATTTTTAAATGACAGCCAGCAGCTACAAAAAAAAACCAAAAAAACAGCAGGAGACTACTTCAAAGAATGATTTATAAACCTGTTCCAAAGTCCTTCTATTAACTTCAGAGGGCTTTTGGATTGAGACGTATGCATATAGAGCCCACTGCTCAATAAACCTGAGTAGAATTTGCAGCAGTCCTCATCAGTTGTCATGGTCAAGGTGAGTTACTGAGATAATCAATTCATTACAATAGGAAACTAGTGAGTAGAATGTTGTGAAGAAAACTCTGGCACTTGATACTTCTTGCACATAAATCAATGAGAAATAATTTGACAAGATTAAGGTAGTAGCAAGTCATAGTGCAGTATGAGATGCTTGCAGAAAAGAGAGATAAACTTGTATTGTTTTGTTTTTTTTTTTACCAAAACAAAAACCCAACTACAAACCCACCACCTCATTATCCACTTTAAAGGTAAATTGGACAATTCGAGGGGTTTCAGACTGCTTATACAGACAGGCACAAATCAGACTGTTATCACACTGTATGGCAAACCAAACTGGAGCTCAGGATCAAATTCAGAATCAGATCAGACTTAGCAGTTTGACCAAAAGTCTCATGTAAGGCAGCTGTTGAATGATCTGTCTGCTCAGATGCGTTTAACATTGCCAATATTTATAATGAGAAAAAGCCCATCATAAATAATAGGTGTTAAAATAAAATAATGCAGGAGGATTTTTTATCATGTTTTCCTCTGCACATTAGACCTCTCACTTTTAGACATGAACTTGGACCTAAGTCCTCAGCAGGTTTTAACTTAGAATTTCTTCCTCCTTGAATATATCTCCTCTAAATTTAGCTGAAAGCTTTAGAAACTGAAGAGGAACATAAGCTAGTTAGAGGTAGCAGGAGAAAAGTTAGAAGTGAAGCAGTGTGTCACTCCAGTTGTATCTGAAGTGATTGGGTTACACAACTAGCTGAGTTTCACAGCTTCCTGGGGCCAAGTGAGGTAGTCCCACTTTCTTCCATTTTTCTTCTCCTATTGAATTCCCAGACTTTGGCCACCCTGTCCCCAGTATAATTTAGGAAGCCAAACCAATCAGATTACATTTTGCCTTTCTGTCAGGGAGCACTTAGTTCAGCAAGCTGGTTGAGTGCCCTGCCAGTGCAGGACCAGAATAAGCCAAGGGAGCACATAAGAGGAAGCTGTGAGAAAAGGAGGGTAAAATTACTTTGTTCACCACCAGGCATTAATCTAGCTGTTGTAAAACAGCACTGTAGGCTTTCAATAATATCACATTGTCTGGTGCAGTACCCAGTACCCAGATACTCTGGCTTTAACTTCTTTCATGCTGTCCTTTTTCCACGTCTCTTACGGCACACACATTGTATCACTTTAGATCTAATTCCTCTCCTTTTTTGTAGAAAGGCGTAAGGGGGCTTGAATTAGATGGATTCTAAATGGAAAGGGGAGGTGGTGATGTACATGCTTCTCATAGATTATTCCTGCATCCTAGCTGCTGCTTTTGTGGATCTTCTGTTATGCTGTGAGTACAGCAAAGCGTATCTCAACCAAGATTATCACTATGAGCAAAACTGAATGTTTTTCCCCTTGCACTGTACCACTGCTCCACGTGATCTTAAGCTAATAATTAGGCTTCCAGTTGGCAGTAATATTTTATTCAGGGGGGAAAAAAAAGAAAAGATAAAATAGCAAACATTTTTCCCCCTTTCCTTCAGTTACATTTTTGCAGTTTGTACCAGCTACTGTTATAACATAGAGCAGTGCATGAATTACTTCCTTCTCTCCTTTTCACCACAGCCCTAGCTCTGACATTTTTTTATTTTTTTATTTTAAAGATTGCAGATCTTGGTGTTGCTTCCTTTAAGAACTGGAGCCGGCTGACCACAGAAGAGACCTGCCGACAGAAGAAAATCAAGAGCACTTCCCAGAACAACGCTGGGACCCTTTTTTATATGGCCCCAGAGCACTTAGATGATGTTAATGTAAAACCTGTGGAGAAATCAGATATTTACAGCTTTGGCATTGTAATCTGGGCAATTTTTGCTAACAAAGAGCCATATGAGAGTAAGTTATTTGGAAAAGACTAGATTAGAAGATATATAGAAGTTATAAACATTAAGCATTTCAAGTTACAAAGTTAAGAATAGTGGGTTATGATGCCTTTGCCCAAGTACAGTCCTTGTTTTACAACTCATGGCCACTTACAGACATTGATTGCATCATTCCTTTAAAATGTGGTCAGGAATATTCCAGTTGCACTTGAAATACAGGCATAAGGCCAAGTTTGAACATACAGAACACATGTAAACCTGAACTCAGTGGTAGAAATTAGAGAAGCCTTGCGCAGGCCAGGATGGAAACTCTCCTGTATGCTGTTTCCTAACATGGGCTAAACGTACCAGCATTTCTCTTTTTAACAGGAATGTTCATGCAGCCAGTTACTGTTCCTCAGCTGTGTAATGCTAATTTCTTAACATGCATACATGTAGAAAAGTAGAAGCAGACCATGGAATTCCAGAGCAACGTTTATCATTTTGAATGTTTATTTGATGTGCTAACTGTCTAAACACTGCCTATGTGACTATCTTTGTGTTCTGACCTAGCACAGAGCATAACTGAGATTCAGGTTCTACAAATCTAGATATGTCACCCTTACATGGCACACATTCATAAAAACATTCATTAATCTTAAGTCTCTAATACACAGAAGCTAGGGAACAGGATTCAGCTTCAGAAATCTCTCAAGTTTGTAACTATAACTCAGACTTCTTTCTTTGAAATCTTCATTTATATATCCACAAATATACAGACTGTTGCTTCAACTGTTCCTTTTTGCCTACAAAGATGTGACTTTGGGGGAGGGAAAAACCTGGAATCAGAATCTGATGTGAAATTTTAATTTTTCAGATTGTATAAATGAAGCCCATATTTGCTTTGGAATAATTCGTGGAAACAGGCCGAACATAGAAGAAATCATTGAGGAATGTCCAAAGGAAATTATTGACTTAATGAAACAATGCTGGGAACAGAAGGCAGAGGATCGGCCGACCTTCGCAGGTAAGGCATTACAGTGGGATTATTTTTGCTCTGTGCCCATCAATAGTTTGCATAGTTTGCAGTGCAGCAAACGTGAATTCCTTCTTATTAATTTTCAATTAGAAAATAAAGTGACCAACTTAGATGCCCAGTAGAACCTGTTCTCCGTACTACAAATAGCATCCTGTCCAACAATTACAGCTTTGAGAAGAATAGTAGATGGAGTAAAATAAACTGGATGAAGATAAGACACTTTGTACATGCTGTAACTTTTTTTTTTCAATGTTGTATGATCCTCCTGAAGGTTTCAGAAAAGCTGGTGTAAAGGAACATAGTATATCCTGGGTACAACTGACATAATATCCTATCAAAATCTGCATCAAAAGCTGAGTAGCCCTCCATTAGCAAAGCAACAGTTTGTTACTGATCATCCTTTATGTGGTCAGAATCCAAAACAACTGAAGTTAAAGAAAAGGTTGGACTGAATGGTCTGACAGAAGGTGGAGGAGGGGATGGAAATAAGAGCAGTCATCAAATATACAGTATACATAAGCCAGTATTCATTTCTCTTTGCCTTTTCTCTCTGTCACGATAGCAGTCCCAAAAAAGAAGAACTACATGCATAGGGAGTTATGATTTATGCAGAGGCACCTAGAGCTTCATATGCAGCAGAAGCAATATTCATGAGAAGCATATAGACATGGAGAAACAAATCCACTATTTCTATTTTTAACCTGCAGTGATGTTTGTAGATTCTTTGAGTCATTCCATCTTGAGTAGAAGTAAGGTAGCTGTTTATCCAACACCTGAATGCAGTTAAATGCATCTTATTTTTTTTGGCAGCCAAGGGAAGTTACTTCAGCCACAGATCACTTTTCTCCTAACAAGCAATAAGACGACCAAAAAAATCCATAGAAATAATCTTGTTTTTAACTACGCTAAGGCTAAACAAGTTGTGTGAATATAGACTCCAATGTGCATTTAATTTTCCCATTACTGTTTCTGACTTGATATAAAATCTTGATTGAATCCTTGCGCATCAAGGTTGTTAACAGCATAAATTACTGATTTTCTACTGAAAACCATCTTCATCTTGTTCTTTTTTTTTTTGCAGAAGTTAGTAAGAAGTACAATCCCATTTACTATCAAAATCTAGAAAAAAATATTGAAGACGATCTGAAGAAAATAGAAGTGAGTAATTTCTTAAGTATTATTTCCTAAGTATTAAAGTGTCAGCTTCCCAACCATGCCGTGCCACATCCCCAGTTACTGCCAGATTCTGCCCAGCTCTGATCATGCCTGACCAACCTGATTTCCTACAGTGTAAAAACAGATGGATTTGTGAATGAGGGGAAAACAGTGTAAGTCATTTACCTCAGCTTCAGGAAGATTTTCAATGCTGTCTCCCAAAATATTCTTGTGTCCAGTTTCAGATGTTACCATCTGGATGGGTAGACAGCCAGCTGGGTTAAAAACAGATTGGATGGTCTTAGAGGGTAGTGGTTAATGGGCCCTACTTCACCTGGATTGGAATAATGCAAGGATCTGCTATACTGGGACATGCCCTGATTTACACCTTGATCAGTGACCAAAGGAGTGATGGAGTATGATCTCATAAGGCACGCAGATGACAAACTATGGGGATGAATAAGTACCATCATAGTCAACGGTGCCCACAGCAGGCTGGGAGAATGGGATGACAGAAACCTTACAGAACTCCAAAAAAATCCAAATGCAGTATGCTGCACGAGGGGAGAAACAGCATGTGGCCTCAGTGCTGGCTGGGGAGCAGCATTGCTGCAAAGACTGGGGCTTATTCAGCCTGAACAGGAGATGGTTTGGGAAAGAGGTAAAAGAAGTAGCCTGTTCCTACCTTTGAAGGGCTTATTGAGAAGTTGGAGCCAAGCTCTTTCACAGCAGTGCACAGAAAAAGGAAGATGGGAGACAGTGAGCATAAGGAGAAACAAGAATAGCCCCACAGGGACAGACAGGCAGTGGAGCAAGCTGCCCAAGGTAGCTGTCCAGTCACTGACCTTAGAGGTTCCAGGATGCAGATGGACAAAGCCCTGAGTTACCTGGTCCAGCCCCATAGACAGTGCTGTTCTGGGCAGGATGTAGGACAAGACATGTCCCAAGGCCCACTGTAACCTGAATGACCCTGATATGTGATATCTGATGACTGTGATAACACAGTACTTCAGAAAAGCTTCTATAGTGTCCAGAATGTCTCACACACATACTAAAGTATTATTCCCCAGAAATTCAGAAGTATCAGAATATGATTTAAACTAAGTATAAAAAAACTCTGAATTCATGCTAGGTTGCTTTTTTCTTTAATGCCTGTAAATTCTCAGCCTGCTTGAGAGCAGGAACTACACAGCAGCAATAAGAAGTTCCCATTTTTATTTGAAATCAGTTATTTTTTCCTAGTGCGTAAGTTGGTTTCTCTTCCTTTTCTGACTTGAGGTTTAGGTTTACAGCTTATGATACAAAGAATGATCTCAGGACTGAAAAAATAATACGAGAATGAAAACTTCTGGAGTATTGACTGATGACAGAATCTTTTTGTAGTGGATTTTATTAATTTATTCATTTGTCATGACAGCTATTAATGAGAACTGAACTAACTTCTAATATGAAGTCCAAATGTCCATATTATGATAGCAGCCCCAAATAATCATAGGGACTAAGAACTATTTAGAAAATGGGGTATGTCTATTACTTCCTCAGGAAGAAAAGCATCCCTTCATATCAGGCCACACAGGTAAGGGGCACAGAGTGTGAATACAGCATCCAGGCAAGTCAGGATGGTGAACTGCTAGGACAGCTTCATTAGGAACATGAGTTAGAGGGCTCAAGCAAAACCTTTTTTGGCCTCAGCACTAGCAATTGTGGCAGTAAGAGTTTACAGCCCCCTAACTAAAAGGGCTGCAGGATCACAGAATGGTTGAGATTGGAAGGGACAGGTGGAGATCATCTGGTCCAACCCTCTGCTTAACCAAGAACACCTAGAGCAGGCTTCCCAGAACCACATTCAGGCAGCTTTTGTGCATCTCCAAGCACTCCGAGAGTCCATCTGAGCAAACTGCCATTGCTTGGTCACCTAAACAGCTTAAAAATATAAAAAAATAAAATTAAATTTTAAAAAAGGCAGAAAAACCCTTTACTGCCACTCTCAGAACCTCGTGTGGTTCCATTTGTTCCTACCACCTCTTGTCCTGTCACTGGGCACCACTGGAAAGAGTGTCTTCTTTACATCATGCTATCAGATGCTTATATATGCTGACATGATTTCCTTTGATCCTCCTCATCTCCAGTCTAAACAGTCTCAGTTCTTTAGCCTCTCTCACAAGCAAGATGCTCCAGTCTCTTAGTTGTCTTATCTGGACCCTTTCTGTTGGCTCTTGTACTACAGGGGCTCAAAACTGAACACAGCACTCCAGGTGTGGCCTCACCAATCCTGAGTAGAGGAGAGGGATCACCTGCCTTGACGTACAGTCCTCCAAATGCACCAGGACACCATCAGCCTTCTTCACTGCAAGGGTGTATTGCTAGTTCACATTCAATTTAGCATCCATCAGGACTCCCAGGTCCTTTTCTGCAGAGTTGCTTTCCAGCCAGTCAGCCCCCAGCATACATTGGTGCATGGAGTTATTCCTGCTTGGGTGCAGAACTTAGCACCCCCCTTCATTGACCTTTGTGAGGTTCCTGTCAGCTCATCTCCCCACCCCGTTGATGTCCCTCTGGATCGTTAATGGAGATGTTGAACAGGGTTGGACTCAGTGATGGCCCATGGGGTACACTGATAGTTACCAGCCTCCAACTAGACTTCTAAGTATTGATCACTACCCTCTGGGTCCAGTTATTCAACTATTTTTCAAGTCACTCTATGCTTATCCAGCTCACAGTTACCAGCTTCTTTGTGAGGATTTTAGGGGAGACATTAATTATGAGATGTATCACTATGTACAGATTAAGCTTATACTCATTTAGTTAAAGGGTGTTCTCTGGCCAAGTTGATATTTCATACTACAGTTGCACTACCATTCTTCCTTCTTCCACTGAAGATAAGATTTTGCCCATCTGTAGCAAAGTAGCAGATATTTTCTGCAAGGCTCTGCTCTCTGTAAGAGGATCTCTTCCAACAGATTCATGGAATCTGTTCACCCAGGTGACATCACTGTGAGGACGTGTTTCCTATTCTACAGGTGCTTCCTTTTGTTAAGCTTTTACCTATAACTTGATCATATGTTCTTTTCTTACATGTAGGAAATGTGGCCAGAGTCAGAAGAATTGCTGCAGAGGATGAAATCCCTTCAAATTGATGCTGCAGTGGTAGATACCAGTAACGGCCAAATAGGTAAGTGTTCCAAGTCGCTTAACTAACACAGCATTTACTCTGCTAAAGATAAAGGTTGCCCATGTACAAAGCGAGTAATGTTACCACTAAGTAGCTATAGAGAGACTCAATTATTCAGTACTTCACAGAGAAATTTTTCCAACATCCAGTTCAAACCCGTTTTATTTCAGCCTTGTGCTTTTCCTCTTCCATGCCTACAATTTTTTCTACATTCGATTTTTCAGTAGTCAATTTGATAACTGCTTTACATAGTTGATATATCTTCCCATCCTTTTGGTCATGCCAACAAACTTAATGCTTGTCCTATCAGCTTCAGGTCCACAAACTTTCCTTTTTCCTCACTTCAGCCTTTGTTACAAACCAGGACACAAAATTATTAATAAAAAAAACAACACACCACATAGTATTTTGTGATCTTGCTGTCCATAGAGTCAACCAGAAGAGCACTAATAGATGAGTCTTCTCCCCTTTCTCTCATATTTTAAACCTTGGATGAGTTGCATGTTTTATGGAGCTGCCACAGTATGTTATGATGTAGTTATTCTTGTTGTAGCATAGATGGAATTGTTTTATCCAATTATCTTAACAACAAAGGAAATGAGATCCTATTTCCAACGCTGATTTACAAACAATCTAAAATTCAGTAGAAATCAAATCCTGCTAACTTTGCCCACACCATTATAGAGATTGTATTAAACAAGTAACTTGGAACTATAACAGGCAACTGATAAACCTTCACCAAAGCTACATTTGCCATAACAGTTTTTAGTAGAACTATTGGACTTAGTAAGGCAGGCCTATTGCTGTATTTTTAAATTAGTATAGTTACATTTTCCTTGCAAAAATAGTAACATAAGACTAAAGATTACAGATGCTTTTGTGCTTTCAAGGATAAAAAGGTTTTATTGTCAAACTAGGCTGCAGAAAGATACAATCTTAGCATCCTGACAAAGTCAGGTTTGTTGGTTGGTTCAATTTCCCCAGCCTAGCTCCAGTCAATGGGCATTGCTCAGACACTGTTAGCAAAAGATACCCTGCGGGACCCTGCTCATACATCTCAAGCTGGCCCTGAAGAATACATGCCATACAATTATGTGAATACTAAATTTCTCTAGCTGTGGGTTTTCTATATTAGCTTATTCCTCCCACGCTCCTTCCAACAGCAGTAACGAGAGAAGCAGATCAAGTCAAACTGAATGCATACTAGCATACAGGCATCAAAGGGAACTATGGAAAACAGCCACAAAAATTCACATTATCCAAGCTACTTAAAAGCATATAAACTTTATTGCAAGTTTACAGTGACCTATACAAGTCCCATGTTTTAGGCAACATGCAACATTTTCTAGACATCTGTGAAGCTTTCAGAACTGTAGTCCTGCCTGTAGAAAGCACAAGAACAAGTAGTAACAAGCAGAATTTTACATTCTTGTTTAGTTTAGGAATGTTGCAGCATGATCTAAATTATAATTCAGTCTAATTTGGGACTTCCTTTGATAGAGAGAACTAGTTTCAAAGATGACAGACTATTCTATCTGGTACGTGTTGCTTGTAAAAAAGTATTCTTTGAGACAATGAAGAATAAGCCAGACAAAATAAAAAGGATTAATCCTGAAACATCCAGACAGGATTTCTGCATAATCTTTTGCAGATATTACTTTATTGACAAATTATTTGTGTTGCATTAAATAACACCAATTACATTGACTTCTATTTTCCATCTTGTTATACTCTCCTCTTACACTGATTAAATGCCAGTTAATGCAGCCAAGACTCAGTAGTAAATCAGACCCTACACATGCTGCTGGGAACCTGTTGTTTCAGTGACTAAGAACGTGGTGTTGACATAAGCAGAGTACAATGAGCTCAGACATCACTTTCCTAGACACAGTATTGTGATACTTCCCAGAAAGGGAAGTATTATATAAAACAGCTTATGCTGGAAGTGATGTTACACTTTCATCTTTTATAAGTTACCATAATATTAAAAATAAATGAATAGAATCTAATGCCACCACTAGTTATATTCCTGCAATAGCATATATTTCAAATACTTAATTTTTCTCCCTTTCAGATCAACCTAATTCTCTACACAGCTCTCAGGGTCAGATTAATGAAGCCTTGTTTGCTGCCTGCCCTGAGAACCAGCCTGTTGAGAGCTGTGAGACTTCGTTTACATCCCCTGACAATCTAGAAAGAAAACTTGAATGTGAATATGACTACCATGCATTTGGCAGCCGGATGGATAAATCAGTAGTTTCACCATACACCCCAGAAATGAGAGAGAGAGAAAGGAAACAAAAAGTTTCCAGTGATCCATTTGCAAAGCTGCCTTCTGTTTCTCAGTGGAGTGAACATTACCACAAAGCTGAAAATACAGGATCAAACACTAACCCTTGGTTTTGGCCAAAACAAGCTGCAATACCAATACGAGGAAATTTCAATAATTTTTATGGGCCAAACGTTAACAGTCTCATAACAGGAAACACAGAAAATCTCTATGATCCTTGTTCAACTAGTGCCTTTAGCCTAAGCAAAACTCCCGTGCCGGAATCTCGCCCAAACCTGGGGGCACAGAGCAGCATAAACCAGCAACAAAAGAATGCAGACATGGATACAGGTGAGATTCCTCCTCCTCCTAACTCTTGTGTTTCTGAAAATGTTTTTTCCTCTAAAAACAAAGTGGCCTTAATATTAGCAGACAATGGACAATACTGCAGTAGCTAACAAAACCAAGAGCTGTTACTAATCACACTTGGAAAGCTAAGGAGTACTTTTGATTCACAGAATGTAACATTCACACTACAGGTTGTGCATGCAAAAAATGGAACTTCTCTCACACGTGTAGCATTTCAGTAAATAGGTATTTAAGCTTGATTTGCAGCAAGTTAAGAGATTTATCAGTTCAGGGAGCTAACAAGGAGCTAAAGCTCTTAACTGGTTTCTCCAGAGATCACTGCTCAGTGCTAACAGAGAGATTCTCTTACTGTTTGTAGTGAACTGTGGGATAGAAAGAAATGGAGAAAACAAAGAGAACAGTGAGTGTCAGTAACCAGCAGCAGTTAAGATAAAACTTCCAGGAAATAAAGAAAGTATAGTACACAACAGTCTTCTCCTACTAGTAACAGAAGATTTTTAGTGTGGCATTCTATTCTAGATCTTCTCAGAAAAAATAATAATAATAATAAATTGAGGACAGCTGCTTACAGGCAAAATGCCACAAAGTTGTTATTCTGTTCAATTGTTTATGCAGAAGCTGTAACTGTTTATGAGTTTACACACTGAAATGAGTCTAAGAGCTGTCATGTCAAAAGGCAGGAATGAGAACTGTCAGTATCACTAAAGAGACCAAAAAAATTAAAGCAGTTATTGTAGGGAGGCAATATACAATATCTTGGCAGGTATCAGACAGAAGCAGAAGACCCACACTGCAGTTCTTTTATTGTTTTATTTGGTGACTATAACCCAGTCACTTGCTGCCCCATCACCAGCTATTACAGCTCATCTGAGCACATCCAAATCCATTCCTATGCCAGACAGGAAGTTCCATCTCTGCAGGACATTACTGCTATCAACAGAAGATGCAGTGGCATCCCACGCTTTTGCTACAGCCGGTCGCAACTAACACACTAACAAACCATGACAGTCTCAGCAGTAAACAGCAGCAGTGTGCTTGGCAGCTTTTTTGATCTGGAATTTTCAAATTTGAATATGTGATGGGAGGCAGTAATATCTGTGACTACACTGCAATACTGCACTGCTATCTACTAGCCAGGTGTTCATAGACCCACATGGAATCCTATTGTCCTCACTGGGATCCAAGGATCATGAAGGCTATTTGTCCCTGAGCAAAATCACGATAAGGGTAACTTCTCTAGAGTTATTCAAGGAGATAAAGTCCTGTTAATTAAAAGCTTCTTGTCTTTTTGTATTTAAGAGCACTGTGCACACTGTACAAATAACTGCAGTACTTGTAGATTTTTTTTTTTTTAATTTCTATAATACTTGTAGCATTTCCCCTCTGTTTAGGTATCAAGGTTTCTGCCTCTTTCACAAGGGGAACTTTCACATATTATCCTCCTGCACCTCCAATAACCAGAGGTAAATGTAGCTGTAGCCTTTATCTCTCTTGCTAGCCAACAGTATATGCATTGCATCACAATCAGTGAGGAAAAAAGCTTCAGCATCTTGAAATAATTCATGTAATTGCTTAATATCTTTAAATATAGCAGAAGTAAGCAATATTACCATGTAATATTCCTGTCTCTACAATTACATATATACACATTTATATTTGCTTGATCAAGGACATCACCATCTTTAATGTAAAACATAAGGGTCGTGCTGATCAGCCTTCCTCAGAGTACAGGTCTCCAGAGTTCAGCTACCTTAAACCCCTACAGTTCTATCCTGTCCTTGTCTATGGCATTTTGTTATGGGATAGAGTAACACTGGCTTTTAGTAAAGCACAGCTGTGTCACACTACATGAAAATGTGTTCATGATTGCCAGTACTTTAGAGGGGAGTTTGACTAGATGACTTTTAAGAGTCCCTTCCAACTCAAACAATTCTACAATTTCTATGTTAAATATAATACAAGAATTTAATCACTCCCTCGATTATTGAAATCTTCATCCTTAACCTTCATGCAGTACTTCAATTTTTGATTTATATGCAGATGTTTATAAAACTGTATTAATTTCCTTATGCAGAAGATTCAATCATGTACAACATAACTAACAGCTCCGGAATTCAAATTGGATCCCACAATCACATGAAGATTGAAGAGCAGAATCAACACATCAGCACTTCTCCTGTTGCTACAGAAGCATCTTACTCATACTATGAATCAACGGGTATATTTGGTAAGATAGATCTCCCTAGCTTTGGTGTATTATCCTCATGCAGTTATCTCTGAGAATCATTAGGTTTGGACAATGTGAGAACAGTACAACTTAGTCTGTGACTCCTTTTCTACACAGTAGTACAGTACTTGAAATACTTAAAGATTAGTGGCAATGCTGTTCTGTAATACTGTGTACCTTATTTGTCATGTCAATATTGGATTAAGCTACTTTTTTATTCCTAAGTAAACAAAGTAAAGAGTCCCAGAATATAAAAGACATCACTTATAAACATCAGTCAGCTATACAAGGACTTTAGGAAAGAGCTTCTGAATTTTGCAGGTGTTTAAATAATAAACTAAGGTAGACCCAGAAAAAAAAGCAAGTCCACCAACTGACTTGTGAACACGTGTGTTCCCACTAGGAGTTTCTTTTGTGGTATTAATTAGGTAGTATTGCCTCCACTTTTGATCCTGAAGTTCCACCTCAAGATATTGCAAATACTTTGGAAAGGACGATTGACATAGCATAGGGAGCAGGAGGAATGTTAAATAATGCTATTTTCTTATACTTTATTTTTTTCTTCTTCTTCAGACAATAACACTGTCTTGACTGAGAAACAGCTGAATCTAGTGAGAGAAAAGTTAGCTAAGCAGTGGAAGCACTGTGCCCGTAAACTAGGCTTCAGCAACTCTGAAATTGATGAAATTGATCACGACTATGAACGAGATGGGCTAAAAGAAAAAGTTTACCAAATGCTGCATAAGTGGGTAATGAGGGAAGGCTCTAAAGGTGCTACAGTTGGAAAAATTGCCAAAGCCCTCTTTGGCTGCCAAAGACTGGATCTCCTTACTGGCTTGATGCAAATGAATGAGGAATAAATTGACTGCAACTGGAGAGGGGAGGCACACAGGATATTTTTACCTGAAGACCTTCCAACAACAAATAATTCTGAACAGACTTTCTGGAGCTTTTTGCACACTTTTCCTCTTTGGAATGGATTTTTCTGCCAAGCAGTTTTCAGTGAATACCTCCAGCAACTCAAAAAGTTTGTGTCAAAATAATGAGATCTTCCAGATGTTAAAATTTGGTATTTTCCTTCTGGGAGGGAAAATTAAAAACAAAGATTTTCCAAACATTAGACAAAGGCATTAATAATACTGATTCAAGGAAATTAAGTTATACAGAATTCGTAGTCTGTCTTTAAATATGATGAACTAAACTCTTATTTAGCTCTGAACAGAAAGTATGTCATTTCAGCAATACTAATGGATCAGTACAAATATGAAAGACTGGCTCACTTTTGAAAGACTTGGACAGAAAGCAAAATCAACCCTTAAATCTTGCCAATACTTACAAGGCTACTACTATCCCAGACTGCTCTAAGTTAATGTGCTATTATTTTTATATCTTTTTATAATGTTCATTATATATCTATAACTCTGCTGAATAGAAGTGTGAATAAAAGCAAGAATGATTTTTTTTTTTGGTTGAAAAAGTGTGTAACTGATAAAATAATCTTCTTTCATAGGTTAACATTGCATTAGATTTTATGCTGCTTGGTAGAGAAGATTTTACATGAGTAATCTCTGCTCTGCTTTATAACACAGGAAAAACAATCATTATGCAATCCAAAATAAAGACTTGGGAAAAATAAGAGCTTTGGGAAGGGGAAAGTGCTTTATTATTACAGGACAGAAGACCCATTCTGCTCACTATGTGACTAAGAGTATTACTAGTTACTAAAACTCCTAGGCTGCATTTATACTAGTTAATTAAAATGCACTTGGGAACATTCCAGGATGCTGAGGCCAGCTGGCAAAGAGTAGCTTGCTGACAAGGTAACAAATTCATTTAACCTTGAAATATTAAAGCAAGGATTGTCTCACCACATTTAAGTTGTACTGGGGAACGTTGGAAGAGCTCTGTAGCATAGATTTTGGTGTCCTAGTGCCTGGGAATGGTCCTCATCATTCTTTAATTTACAGGTACTGACGCAATCATAGATCCTTCATACTGAGAAAGAAGAATTACTGAGCTGCAAGTTTTTATGCACTAAAATAATCATGCCACATTCTTCCTATGAAGAATGATACTTCTGCTCTGTTTATTACAAGCCAAACAGATTTTTCAGACCAGGTCTCTTAGCTGTAGAAAAAGCAGTAGGCATTAATTAGCTTCTAATTGATGCCAGAAAGTTAGCAATTTAATAGAAGCATAGGATTCAGCAGCCACCATTTTAGTAGAGGTAAAATTAAACTGGAATCACAGCAAATGCCAACATATTTTTCAGCTTTAGAAGTATTTAGCGTAGGTTATAGTGAAAGGGGGTCCCCAAAATGAGGACTTCAGCAGAAATTATAACACAGATTGTGTCATCCACCCAGCTACTGGAGGACCTGCATAACTTTTGTTCACATACGCTAAAACCCACGCGTCTTTTTCCTGCTATTAGTCCACAGAGTGTTAATACCAGCACCTACTGTGTTACTTCATGAAACAAATCTAAAAACACCCATGTACTCAAAGCATTGATTTCACTGCAGTGAAAGGAGGAAAGAAGGAGAGCTACAGAAAGTCTTTCAGGATACTGTTGACAGAACTCAATCACAGAGTCCTGGGCAGAGTACAAGGCATTATAAGCTCTTAGGTATTGAAAAACCACAAAATAGCACCCAATGGCTGGAAGCTGCAGCCAAACATGCTGAAATGTGAATTAATACATATTTAATAAACTGGATAATTAACTACTGGCATAGACTAGCTAGGGAATTTGTGAATCTTCTTGATGCCTTTAAACTAGTACCAGACATCTTTCTTTAGACACAGATAGTAAGAAATAAACTTAGAGGTCTCAGTGCAAGGTTAAACAGGTGAAAGGTAAGAAGGATTTACAAGAGGCCCAAGGAAACAAATTAGCTCCATCCCCAGACTGAAATGCAAGGAATTTTTGAGCTATAGCAGAAGGACCAATTTAGGATTATGTTCCTTGCAATAATTTGTATTTCCTTTCTCTTTCATTGTAGGCAGCCTGTCTAGGAGCCTTTTTAGCAGAGACAAAGTAAGAACTGTTTAATAGCACACCGTTGTTGAAGTGCAGCCTCCATCCTGTAGCTACAGTAATTGTTACAAAGAAGCCAATGTGCTGAAATTCTTAAATGCCCCGAGGATTACAGTCAATGTATTCACAGCAATTCAGTTAATTTTGTTACTATATGTTCATTAACAGCACACAAACAGCTAAGCATCTCCAGCAATCTTTACTACTTCTAAAATAGCTGCTAAATAATAGTACAAAATGAAAAACTCAGAGAAGACACTGTTGTAAATGTTTGATATATGGACTTAACCTGGACTGACAACACTTGGCTCCCTCTTCCTGCAGCCACTTTGCCCAACAGAGGCAATACTAGTGAACTTGGCCCCTGAACAAGCGGCTTTAAATCAGCTCTGTTTTTATCTGCACTAACTTTTTTATCATTATACTACAACAAAGACCTTAATTCAGCCTTGGAGGCACGTGAAAAAGAGAGTAAGAATCTTCACTTTTCTGAAAAATGCCCAGATATGTACATGGCCAAATGGATCTACAAATAAAGTAGGAAAGATCATCCAATACAAGCAGAGCCAACTGCTAACCCTCTAGCACTACAGAGGGCTTTCTTCCCTAGCTTCTAGTACCCTCTAGGCATCTGTTCTGCTCACAAAGAAGCAAGATTGCTACTGACAGGTTCTTGGCAATACCAAAAAATTCGCAGATAGGCCAATAGTCACCTACAGAAAGAACTGAACTCACCCACCTGGTGAAAGGAGATCTCTGGCTACATAGCACTCCTTCTAAGGAAGCAGCCTAGGTCCAGGAGATGCTCTCCCTTCCGTGGCTAGCCTTTATCTGAGTCTAGGGTGGCTCCACCTTCAGTCCACCCCTCTGGTCACATGGCCAACAACACTCCATCAGCAGGTGTTCAATCAACCACCAGTTCAAGCCCTGCCCTACCGGTTCCCTGTCAAGTGGCTCAGCTTGGCCCAGCCCCAGATGTGCACACATTGCTCAGCAACAATCAAACCATCGGTTGCAATCAGTGCTGTTATGGGCTGGAAAACTGGGAGGGTGCAGTGCAGTGCTGACTCTCCCTCTTGCTCTCATCACAGACACTCAATCACATCCAACCCCATATGTATTACACGTGGCATGTGCTTGTGCCACTTGGTGAGAAAAACGCAGCGATCACTGATATTCATATTTCAACATATCTACAGAATCTTTGAGAAAAAAAAAAAACAGACTCTTATAAAAGTTAGTTACGCAGCAGCAATTCTGACTGCAAAAAATCAGCCATTTACTGATGGTGAGTTTATTAAGCAATGTATGGAAAGCAAGACAGATATAATGCATCCTGATTTAAAAAAAAAAAAAAAAAGGATATTTCTATGATCAGTTTGTCTCATCAGACTGTAGCCAGGTGAACTGAAGAAAGAGGAGCATCTATCAAAAGAAATTTGGAGAATGAAGCTGCTAATTTCAAACGTTATGCTTTGGTGATAAAGTACTGATGCTACAGATACGGCTCCACTTCCATTTTCATTAGAGGTACTGATGACTAATATAATGTCACTGAAGAAATTGCTTCTTTGTTGTCATTAAAAGACACAACTAGGTCTCTTGATCTGTATGAAACAGTAAAAACTACATTAAAGTAATTTTCTTTAACTTTTGTCAACATATCTGGTATAGCTACTGATGGTGCCCTGGCAATGGTCGGTAAAAAAGAGGGACTTGTAATATTAACAGAAGACAATGCAGTTACCACCAGCAACTCACAACTGATGAAATATCACTGCATCACACATCAAGAAAACTTAAGTGTGAAAGCTTTCAACGTGGATAATGTCGTGTAAATCATTAAAGCTGTAACTTTCACAAAGGCAATCATTCAATCCATTGGACAATACCAGGAGTTCCTTAAAGTCTGGATGCTACTTATGGGGACATCATTTACTTTTCTGAAGGAAGGTGGCTAAATCGGGGGTAAAATACTACAAAGATTTTATGATTTGCTAAATGAAATCACGTCCTGTAAGGAATCAAAAGGAAAACTTGAGCCAGAACTCAAAGATTAAAAATGGCTCACAGATTTAGAGTTTTTGGTGGATTTGGCTGCTCATTTAAATGAGTTAAATACGCACCTTCAAGGCAAAAATCAATTTATCTGTGTTGTATTTCAAACCATAACAGCATTTGAAATGAAACTTAAATTATGGCAAGCTCAAGTTATGACTTTAATACGTTTTGACGTGTTGGCTAAACAAGGTCCTGTGAACAGCAGAAAAGATGCAACCTTGTTTTTTATTTTGATTTAAAAAAAAATTGAGAATAGGCTTCAAGATTTCCAAAAGATATCATCAATTGTTTTGTATATTTGCAGCTCCATTTTCAGTCAACATGAATACAATACCTGCAAGTTTTCAAACAGGATGTATAAAGCTGAAATCAGACATCCAACACAAAGAAACTTTTGATCATGTCTCTCTCTAAACTTTTATAAGACAGTCTTAGCAGAGAGAAATATCCCTCACTTCACATCCACACCTCATTCACGTTGTCACTTTTGGCAGCACATACATTTGTAAACAAGTGGTTTCAAGGATGAAGTACAAGAGCAACATTTCTACAAAAATCTCTGATGAACACCTGGAGAGCTCACTAAGAATTGCAACCACTTCCATTGAACCAGACAATGAAGCATTAATTTCACAAAAACAAGGTCAAATATCCCACTTGCTTTATGTTTTTGTTGCTGATTTTTTATTTTAATAAAAATAAATATATATAATAAGTTTTGTTACTTATATACATTAACCATATTATATATTCTATATGTGGCCCAAGACAATTCCTCTTCACTCAGTGCGGCCCAGGCAAGTTAAAAGGCTGGATACCCAAGAGGTAATTTATGATCAGCACAGGGTCTAGCATACACACTCCATAGACTGCCTTTGTGCTGGAGGAAGCTGTCCCACAAATGAAAGAGTCAGAGAACTCCTGGCTCACGCTGGGTTTCCCTCCTCTCTCCAACTCCTTTATAATTGTAAGTAGGTCACTTCCTTTCTCTATAGCACAGTTTCCTTATTTCTTTGGTACTGATGCTAACTTGTACCAGAACTAAGATGCAGTCAGATAAGAAGCACTAAAGCTTACAGAACTCAGAGATTCTTGATGAGAGTAGTTTGAGACAAAAATCCACTCTAATCACCTTAGCAAGTCAGTAATACCGCTTAGGTTTTGAACCATGGGTTGCAATTCCTGTGTGTCCCACACATATCTCAAGTCACAAGAGCTAAATGGAGGGCTAGAAGAAATATCTGGGTCACCAAGTTCACCTCTTATAAATGCAAAGAGATTCATACAACCTCTTCCACAAACAAATCAAAAGCCATCTTCTGAATGTTACTTTTACCCCCTCCAAGGGGGAAACTGCTGTTGCTTTTGTACTTTTATTTTTATTTGCAATCACCTTAGGAAATGCCCTGAATCTAAACAAAAATTGCACTAAGTCTTTTATTAGGTCTATAGGATGCAGATCACATTAAACTTTGAAATTAAGAGACCGCCTCACACTGACACACTCGGGCACTTTGTCTTTCTCATGCAGCTCTTTATAAACGCATGATAGGCGCACAGACTCTGCTTAAGCTAACAGACAACTATCCTTTACTAGCATAACAAATACATAGACAAACAGAAACAAAAGAGCAATTCTTACATACCTATCTGTGTCTCAATTTCCTCAACCTGCAGTGCTCTTTAAGCCAAGATATCTGGGATCTTTTTCTACTAGCTGATCTGCTGATCACAAAGCACTATTTATTTCCTTACGTATTCTTTCAACAGAGGTCATTTTGAACGTGGCTACTACACTAACTGAACAGGTCTTCCGATATAAGAAGATGCTGCTTCTATGCATGCTTCACACTTACAAATTTCCAAAATTAATTCCACATTTGCTCAATCTTTCTTGTTTAAAAGGTCAAAATAGAATCATAGAAACATCACTATTCCCACATCTTACAAAGAAAGGTTGAGGGAACTGGGCTTGCTTAGCTTGGAGAAGAAAAGACTCTGGGGAGACCTCATTGTGGACTTCCAGTACTTGTAGGGAGCATATAAACAGGAGGGGGAATGGCTGTTTCCAAGGGTGGACAGCCTTCTTGTCTGTCCACAGGAGGACAGACAAGGGGGAATGGTTTTGAACTGAGACAGGGGAGATATTAGATAGACAGATAGATATTAGAAGGAAGTTTTTCATTCAGAGGGCGGTGAAGCACTGGAACAGGTTGCCCAAGGAGGTTGTGGATGCCCCATCCCTGGAGGCATTCAAGGCCAGGCTGGATGTGGCTCCGGGCAGCCCGGTCTGGTGGTTGGCGACCCTGCACATAGCAGGGGGGTTGAACCTGGATGATCATTGTGGTCCTTTTCAACCCAAGCCATTCTATGATCTTTGCTCTGAATTAAGCAATTCATCTCTATCCGAACCATACCTTTTTGTGGAGCTGCAGCAACAAGGTTTTGTCCAATTGCGAATACACTGACTTACGACATCTGAAAATAAGAGGAATCCAAGTGTCAGAGCAAACACAAAAACAGCAGAACGTTTAACTTCATAAAAAGCAGCTCAAAAGAAAGAAGAAAAAACAACCTATTCACACGTACACAGGCTCAAGAACCTAGTCTGCAGCAGGAAGAAACTCTCTAGCAATTGCTTAGTGGAATTGGAGACAAAAGGGTGAAGCTGTATTATTTCCAGATTAAATACATCTGTGCACAACAAGTGCAGAGCCAACTGCTCCCTGTTGTTGAGTCACCATCCGTGGCTGTGTTTAAAATCTATTTGGACGTGGTGCTCAGGGATTTAGAGGAGGGTTGTTAGAGTTAGGGTAGTATGGTTAGGTTATAGTTGGACTTCGTGATCTTTAAGGTCTTTTCCAACCTGAGCAATTCTATGACACTATGTGACAGGGAGCTAGGAACTCAGCACTTCTATAATAGAATAATGCAGTTTGCAGGGCAAGGAAGGGCCCCACTCTATAACTTCCCACGCATTTTGGCCCCAGATTATCTTCCATCCGCATCCAACCTTGGCAGGGTCTTTCTTCCACAGCTGGGGCCATTGCTCTGTGGAACCAGCTGGCATCTCTATCCTCTCAGGAGTTTCTCTCATTTTTTATATTTTGTGGAGTTCATTTTCTCCACACACATAGGAAAAAAAAAAGTTTTTGCCAGAACCGTTTCTGCTCTTCTGTCTTTAGGCCAAAGAAGGCACAAAACCTTGAGAAAGGAGTTGCACAGTCCAAGCACATGGGAAAGGAATGGTTGCTTTCGTGCCTCATTTGGCCCAGATCTGTGATCAAAGGCCTGGAAACAATGCATGGTGCAGCACATCCACCTTGTTTTCATCACAATGTGGTTAACTGATCCAGAACTACCCAAACCTTAATTCTAAGGCGATACATAAACCTACTCATCTCCCTTTTCTTTTATCTGGTGACAGGTCTGGGTTTTACCTTTCTACCTTACCTTCTTTACCTCTTTTCTCCTCCTACATTGTGTTCAATGCTTTCTACCTAATCCCTCAGTTTTTCACCACACGTTCTGACAAGTTACTACATCTTCAGCCATAGTAGGAGGAGTATGCATAAGATCAGATTTTGAAAGGCATTTTTACAGGAATGAAGCTGGATACAAAAAGTCTGAGACATCTCCCTCAGTGAAACACAAGATAGGAATCCTTTTGATTTGAGAGTTCAAAAAATCAGGACAAAAAAATAAACCAGTTTGTGTAGCCAAAGAGCAAGCTATGTGTGTGTGTGTGAGAATTCACAACAGTCAGCTGTCACCATCTTTCGCCAAAAGGAAGTGAGAACAGTGATGCACACAGCAAAAATGGGCTTCTGAAAGGAGAAGCAAACTGCAGGGTCTCATTTATGCCATTGGGCAAGAGTAAAGGCAGCTTGTCTCGATGGTGGATTGCTTGTAATTAGCTGTACTAAAGACCTTAATCTTAAATGGTTTGATCTGCTTGGGGGATAAACGAAACCAGTATGCTCACACAGCTGAGTTAATCTCTTTACGCACTGGCATTTGCTGTGTCTGTCATTCACCTCTAAGCACTGTTGGTCCTATACAATCTGCAGTGGAGCAAGAAGGCTGAAAACTTCTCACTCTCAGGATAGCCATGAGCTCCCATTGGGCTGGGGGAAACGTGCACAGAAACACAGAATCACTCAGGTTGGAAAAGACCTTAAAGATCATCAAGTCCAACCACAGCCTAACCATACTACCTTAAATCTAACAGTCCTCTGCTAAATCATGGCCCTGAGCACCACATCCAAACGGTTTTTAAACACATCCAAGGATGGTGACTCAGCCACCTCCCTGTTAAGCCTGTTCCAGTGCTTAACGACCCTTTCTGTAAAGAAGTTTTTCCCCATATCCAACCTAAACTTACCCTGGTGCAACTGATCTGGCTTGGAAAAATCCCTCCTGCCCAGGTCTAGGGCCGGAGATAGCACCTCCTGGGTCTTCTTCAAGCTTGGTACCAGCCCTAGGCTTTCTATGTTTCCCCCACTACCTGCACAGCCTTCTTCATTGTCAGCCCGGGCAGGCTATGCTTCAGACCGGCCTTTCTCCTCCACACATGGCAGAGTTAACAATTCTTGGTGAGGATTTTAAGATTCTACGATCTGCATTCAGCACACAGAAGGCCTTGCCCCGGAGAAGCCACAGTCCTCAGCACAGGCCCAGCCAGGTGCTTTCCTCACTATCCACGTTCGAGGCAGAGCCGCAGCTCCAAATAACTACAACGGCTTCTTTTTTTCCCCTCAACTCCTGTCACCCAGCTAGCAGGAACGGCAGATACAGAAACGAGAAATCGCAGCCCGCTCCTTTTTATCACCCCTCACCGCACCACAACAGCCAGCAGCACCGCCTCCCCCTCCCCTGAGTGACAGCCGCGGCCGCCAATCAGAGCGCGGTAGCAGAGGCGCGTTCCCGCCGAGCGGTGCGTGGAGGGGGTGCCTCGTTTCTGCGCATGCGCAGAGGCGCGCGGAGGGGCCGCTGGCGTGCCGTGCCGTGTGGCGTGGCGTGCCGTGTGGCGGCGCTGCCTCCCAGGGCTGGTGCTGTACCGCGAGTACGCGAGTGACTGGGGGCGGGGCGCCCTCACAGGGAAGGGGGAGGAGGCGGGGCGGGGCGGCACGGCGGGCATCATGGCGTGGCGGAGCGGGGTGACGGCGCTGCTGATGCTGCAACCTCGCACCGCGCTGCTCGCAACCCGGGGACCGGCCGCCTCCTACGGGTAATGAAAAGCACAGTGTTCAGAGGCTCGCTGCGTGCTCTGCGTGTGCTCCGCACGGCTGTTAACGCTGCTAGCTCCTAACGCTGCGGGGTTGTCGGTGTTTGTTTGTCTGTTTGCTATTTTAAGTGGGTTTTTGCAGGTATGATTATGCCGGGCAATGAAAAACGCGGTGTTCTAACGGATGCTTTGCAGAAATGAAGTGGCGGTGGCGGCAGCAATGCTGAACTGAGTTCAGACACAGAAGTTTCGTGTGGAGAAGACCACATCTATTTTAGCAATACCCGGCTCCAGGACAGTTTCTCAGCACGTTAAAAATAACAATAATAATAATAAATCATTTTAGTCCAAAAAGCGTTTAAAACAAGCTGTATGTGAAACTCTGGAATTCCATTGGACTTTACACCGAGCCACGATCCAGGAGTTGTACATCACAAGCTCAGCAGCATTCCTGAGCCCACAGCGTTAATCATTGATCAGGAGAAAGGCAGAGCTGTGGAAAAAGTCTAACACTGTCTGAATCTCAAAATCATAACGTACACCCCTTGCCTACAAGAGCTACACGTTGGTTACCTTCTATATGTGCTGCTATTGCGGAACAGTATACACACTGTAACAAGAGATTGTGATGTCTTTCACAGGCAGAGAACTCCAGTTTAGAAGCAGTAAGGTCAACCCTAGTACTTCAAAATCATGTGGCAGAAGGAGTTTTCTCCTCTGTAATACATATTTTTCCAACTTTTCTGTAGCTTTTCTGTAGCTTTTCTGTAGCTTTTCTGTAGCTTTTCTGTAGCTATGTAAAGCTCTAATTATATTCCCCTTCTTGCATGGTCAAGACTTTTTTCCTCCTTTATCTGAATCATTCAAGTGTATTTGTGAAATATGAGTGCAAATGACAGAAAAAGACCTCAGGAGATCGAGTCCAACTTCCCTGCTAAAGCAGGTTCCCTACAGTAGGACCCACAGGTAGGTGTCCAGACAGGTCTTGAGTTTTCCCGTAGGAGACTCAATCACCTCTCTAATGGTCACATAATGAACCCACCTGCACTCCTGTCAAGCTTTGTCTTCTGTGTGTCTGTGAAAGAGCAAGTAAACAGTTTAGATTTTCCTATATTATCCTTCATATCTAGCCAAAGTAAGTATTTTGTACTCCTTGAATGTCCTTGTAGTAATGAGAATTACCTGTCTGAATGTTTTTGTTTTCCTTGCTGCATCCCTAGTACTTCGATAACATCTGCCAAAATCCAAGTGAATGGAGTCAATCTGCATTATCAGCAAACAGGAGAAGGAAGCCATGCAGTTCTTCTACTTCCTGGAATGCTAGGTCTGGAGATTTTGGTTTTTTTCTTTGTAGTGCAACCACCTCTTTAACCATCTGCTCTTTTGCTAGAGTGCACAAACTATATATACAATTATAGAGTATTTTCATTAAAAGGTGAATTATTACACATATAAAATATAGGAAAATGTAGAGGTATAGCAACCAGTTAACTGTTTTTAAAGATTTTAAATATATCACCAGGCAACTTTTATACAAAATGGTATTGCCTCTCAATTTCTTGACTCTCATAGTCACTAATACCTTCTGGATTGGACTGTGGGAAAAGGAATAGGGTGTACAGCAAATAGCTACAACAAGGTGCAAAGTAATGTGAGGAAAAAAAATCAGGTCAGCTGTATTTGTTATACAGCTAATTGTTGCATTCCTCTTAGAAACTAGGTGCATTTCAGTTGAATTAATAAACATTGCAGTTTATGCTCATAGTGAAAAAGGCATGGCTGACACTTGCTTTTTGCTTTAAAACATGTTTTCATGTTGTGCTTATTGAGGACAACATCATTGAGACTCTCAGTGACTTTCAGAGACGGAGAACAGATTCTGCTAGCTACACAAAACCTGTCCACTGAGACCACTGCTTTTGATTATAACCCTTTGAAATTTTCACAGGCTTTTTTCCTGGGCTCTTGCAGCATATTTAACCCTTGAACACCCTTTTTAGTACAACAATAAGTAGCCAATTCAATGTTTCATTATCTGAATATTACATAGTAGAGCTGGACAGGTTTTAATTAAGTAGTGTGTGATGTTGTTACCACATAACCATGATCCAAAATAGAAATAAATTGCAGTCTTCTCCTGGTGTTCATAGATAGCTTAGTGCAACAATATTTTCTAGACTCAGTGTATTTAATCCTTTGAAAGTCAAGGCTGTCAATGAAAGAAACTGTACTGTGTCAGGAGAAAAAGAAATCTATTTGACTGACTTTGGCAACAAACATCTTAGAAAAATAAAAAGTTAGAATTCTGTACTTTTGTGTCACTACTGTCTCCTCAAACAGTGTATTTATAGCTCAGCTTCAAACACCCACAGTCTTACTGAAATGTTTCATCAAATAAGAACCATCTCACCCAGTGTTTTTCACCTATAAATCACAATTTTGTCAGCATATTCCTCCCCTTTCACAGTTTCCTCTGTGCTGGTCAGATGAACAGCAATAACTGTGCTTTAAATCTGTCAGAGATAAGTCGCTGTCTCAGCTAATAATTCCAGGAAACTCAGTTTAAGATGCTCTTCTAGAACATCCATGCAGAGCATCATTTTTTATAAGCTTGCCTTCCTACTTGAAAGTTTGCTCTCATCATACTGCAGATACTTCTAAAGATTTTTATTATGTACTTCATGGCTGAGAGTTGCAATCCTTAGTTACACATAGAGATAAAGTATAAAGCCTCTTTTTTAGAATTAAGATCCAAGTTTCCCCAGTTTCCATCTAGAGTATATATGCCGTATATGTATTATAGTGGTTACTTTAATTGAAGAATGATGGTTTTCCAGGGAGTGGTCAAACCGATTTTGGACCACAGCTTAAGTCCATGAATAAGCAACTATTCACAATTGTCGCTTGGGATCCACGAGGATACGGACAGTCCATCCCTCCCTCTCGAGACTTTCCTCCAGATTTCTTTGAGAGAGATGCAAAAGATGCTGTGGATCTTATGCAGGTAAATCTATTCTCAGATTTTACTGTAAATACAAAACCTGTTTTTCTTAAATTTTGTAGGTAGAAGAGTGCTGCTAAGTATGTGTTGTGGTTTAACCCCAGCAGGCAGCTCAGCAGCACACAGCTGATCGCTCACTCTCCCCTGATGGGATGGGAGAAAGAATCAGAAAGATGACAATTGTGGGTTGAGATGGACAGTTCACTAGGTAAAGCGAAAGCTGTGCATTCAAGCAAGGCAAAATAAGGAATCCATTCAGTACTTCACATTGGCAGGCAGATGTTCAGCCACAGGAAAGCACAGCTTGTCACACATAATTGATACCTGAGAAGGCAAACACCTTCATTCTCAACATCCACCACCTTCCTCCTTCTTTTCCTCTAGTTTGTATTGCCAAGCATGGTCTCATGTATGAGATATCCCTGTGGTCAGTTGGGGTCAGCTGACCTGGCTTTGTCTCCTCCAAGCTTCTTGTACCCCCAGCTTCCTCACTGCAGATCAGTATGAGAAGCAGAGAAATTCTTGACTATATAAGCACTGCTCTGCAATAACTAAAGACATTGGTGTGTTATCACTGTTATTTTCATTAAAAAATTCAAACTACAGCATCATACAAGCCTTTATGAAGAAAATTAAGTCCCAGTCAAAACAATGACAATACATTATTTCCAACAGAAAACAAGTTAAATGAAACATACAAATGAAGGCTTAAAACTGGGCAGATATACACTGTTCTGGAAAATATTTTCTTCTGCAATATACAGAGAAGTTCAGCTTAGGGAATTACAAAGCAATAAGTTCTTATTCTAAAATCCTGCCCTAAGAGATTTACAAATGAAAACCATGTAAGTTTAGGTAAACTATATATGAAAAACAAAGACTAGGCCAGGTGATTTAACTAGAAGAGATTACAATAGTGAAAAGTTCTTAGAAATTTTTCTAGCTAAAACAAGCTTGACATTTTACCTTGAGCAATCCAGTTCAAGAGACATTTGATTCTGAAAACTGACTTGGCACTTTGCATTTTACAGCCTATTACTGAAATAATCTTTGTGGGAAATCAAAGGATTCCTGTAATTGTACCAGATCTTAACTAATGCTGCTATTGTGATTATGAAGACTATGATTCAAAGTTGTTATTGTTTCTCCATCTTACAGATTTTTTTTTTATTTCAAATCTATGTTCCTAAGCTGTGCTTTTATTCCATCCTCTAAGTGCTAACACTGTTTTCTGGTTTAGTTCTAACTAATATTTTGGCCTTGTTATGTTAAGCTATACAGTTTCTTTGGCCATGTTAAGAAAGTTGGCAGAGCATGAAAATTCCAAAAATATGAGAGAAGATTCAGTCAGTGAATCCAACTGTATTTATGTAACGAGCAGTAACCTTGCAGAAAGAACCATATGAAGCTGGAAATGCAGCCTTCCTTGAGTATTCTGCGTGGTGAAACAAAGTAAGTCTGACAGCAGAATCAGGATTAAAATACAGTTGTGCCCTCTAACCATATAAGTAATCTCTCTGCACAGTAAGTCACCAATTTCTTCTGCTACACAAACAAAGAAAATAAAGCTGCTATCATGGGTAGGTGACATACTTTCTGTTTAAATGGTTGTAACTCCCTTTCCCTGCCTCTTTTGAAAAACTAATAGCTGCAAAAAAGAAAACAGAGCTGTCCTTAAAAAGCATGTAATCATAAGGCAGGCAGTCAAAGAGGGCAGCAGTCCACAGATTTCTAAAGCTGCCAAAACAAATGAGATGTGGCATCCTGTTTTTTTGGAGATGTTCACCGATGTAAGCATATAACAACTATTTGTTAAAATCTTCTCAAGGGCAGGTAACTGGATTCTATTTTAGCACAACATGTGAAGGATAGCACAAATCCCATGCAATCACCCTAACTAGGATTCCCAGCATAAAACAAAGTCATAGCTCCTGCAGAGGGCCGTCTAATGGTATGTGGTTTGCATGCAGACAGCCTGCAGACAGACAAAACCCATTTGTATGAGTGAGCCTTCAGTAGCTTTATTCTGGGCTCTTTCAGATTCTGGTGTCTCTCCTGGAGCTGTGAATGCTGCAGGGTTTCAGTGAAATAACAGAAGTATAAATTCTGAAGAGTGTTTAGCACCTGGATGCAGATGACAGTGCTATGTATCACTGAACATGTTCTGCAAAGGAATTGAGATAAAATTGAAGGAGTCTAATGCATATAGGTCCATTCTGATATACTCCATCCCAATCTCTAACAGAAACCACAATGAAGGCCCAAAGCATTAAAAATTATTACTATGGAAAAAGTCAGTGTGATATTTAAGATGTTCTTAGTCTGGAAATCTACTGTTGAAGTAAAAAGGTAGGTTTGGGCTTCTCCCAGTTTTTGTAGGTCAACTGCAGCCCTTGTGGCATACTTCGTGTGGTCCAAAGAAATAATATAGTATGGAGTTCATTTTGTTCATTTGTTGGGTAAAGAGAGCCCAAAATCACCCACAGAACTCAGGAGCTGAAACCAGCTTACAGGTAACTGCCAAAGTAAGCTAGAGGCCTGCAGGGTAAGTAGTTTAAAACTAAAGCAAACGAACGTGCACACTATTTCCAAGACATCTGTTACACTGCATTGTGTTTCTGGGCTTTGGGTTCTTTTTTTGGGTTTTTTTTTTTTTTTTTTTTTTTTTTTGGAGGGCCAAATAAATTCCTCCTGCTGAAAAGGCATCCTGAGAAAACCCCCTAAAATGCAACAAAATAATGGCTAGTTAGTGACAGAAGTACGTAACTGGAGGCAAATGGATCTCAGTTAAAGTACTGGCAAATTGCCTAGGATGGAGAACAAAAATTTTAATCATCTATTCCACCCATCAGGCAACTTTGAGATGCATAATTTGTTACTGGCACTAGGAGAACAGCAGCAACAACAAAAACTTAAGCTTTATGAGCACTGCTGCCAGCTCCTAAAAGCTGCCAAGACACCAGTGACACTTTGGCAGAACGATACTGAAAGTTGATCATTTGTAACTAACTTTTCCTGCAGACCAGGGCCAACATGTAACTAGCTGCTAAAATTCAAGGCTCCTTTTTCTTGTTGTCAGATCTTACCTTACATGTCCTCTATACCTTATCTTATTTCTTTTCTGTTTGCTAATTAGGGCTTAGACAGATGAAATCTGGGATTGAGCAAGACTACAGTGAGCCTAGTATCAAGGAAGCTGCCAAAACCAGATAAGTCCGGTAGTAGTAGAAGAAAGCCAGGTATCAGTTTGACTGATAAGGCTGTGCCTCACTTGAGCATCATGTTTACAAGCAGGAGCAAGCTCCAGATTATAACTACTTTTTCCTTTCTGTGTAGTTCTTTTGTTTCTCTCATTTCCTGTTTCTGCTTTCTTCCCTCCAAAGAAAGCAGGACTGGTATTCCAACAGCAGAACACTGAGTGCCAAAACAATGATTTAACTAACTTCCTTCTTTTTTTTTCCCTTCAAAAATACAATATCTTCTTTAAAGCCATCTAAAAAGTTTTAAAAAGAAAAAAAAGAATACACACACACACACAAAAAAAACCCTTCAAAACTTTCAATTATGCCTTTTTGCTAAGGAGTTTACAAACTCAGGCTCCTATATACGAAACTGCTATTGAATATTGTTCCAGTAGAAACTTCAGATTTCTTTCATAGAATGGCTTGGGTTGGAAGGGACCCCAAGGATCATCAATTCCAACCCCCCTTCTGCATGCAAGGCCACCAACCTCCAGATCTGGTTCTAGACCAGGCTGCCCAAGGCCCCATCCAACTGGCCTTGAACACCTCCAGTGACGGAGCATCCACAACCTCTCTGGGCAGCCTGTTCCATCACTTCACCACTCTCATAGTAAAGAACTTCCTTCCCCCTGACATCCAATCATCCAATTCTCTCTTTGAGCTTAAAACCATTCCCCCTTGTCCTATCACAATCTACCCTTGTAAAAAGTTGATTACCCTCCTGTTTATAATCCCCTTTTAAATGCTGGAAGGCTGCAATGAGGTCTATTCCTTTGCTTCCTAGCATCTTTATCTTCCTCACCTTTTGCTCAGTGAACATCATAAGCACAAAAATCCTTTCTTCTGTCAGTGCTCTTACCCTCTACCACAGACCTTGGAATATGCGAGAACTAGTTTCAGATTCTAAGTGGAAAGCAATGTACAAGTCAGAATTAATTGATGTCCCAGTTGACGTATTCTTTGTTCTGAGCCTTCCTTTTTGAGAAAAAGATATTGCAATATTCATGTTTTTAATTGGAATTCATGAGGTACTAATATTTAAAATGTCATGTATGCTTCAGAAAATGTGGATTAGGCACCTAAATTTGATACAATCCTGTAGCAAACACTCTTTAAGCATTTTTTAAATCATTATAGATATTTTTTTTTAATAGGTCAGCTAGCATCAATAAATTAAATCACAGGATTTCATTTTCCAAGTCTTAAACTTTTCTTAAGTTCATCTTGGGTTACATACCATCCCACACTGCAGTAGTCTTTGTCAGCTTTATATGAAGAGAATCCACACATTCTGTGTACCATCAGTCTCTAAGACTTCACTGTCATAGGACATAATGAATCTCTAATACTTCTCTAGGTCTTCGCTATCCATTCTAAGTAAACATTTCTTAATTTTAAGACAGCTTCTTAAATGCAGTGAGAATCTAATATAATCACTGATTGTTTCATTAAATAGTCATGAAAAGTTAGAAGTGTGAGTAGAGTTTCTTTTCTATTCTTTTTCTTTTTTTTAGTATATGACCTTTCCTTTAGCAGGAAAATCTAGCTGGAAGCTACCCTATCTAACTCAACTATGCAGTGACGTGTCTAGATCTGTACTGCTGGTTTTTGATGAACGCTTTATGTCTGCTTACTAAAAATACCAGTTTTATATAACTTTTTTGTACCAACAAAGGCACTGAAATTTAAGAAGTTCTCTTTGCTGGGATGGAGTGATGGTGGCATTACAGCACTCATTGCAGCTGCAAAGTATCCAGCTCTTATCCACAAGATGGTTGTCTGGGGAGCAAACGCTAGTGTTACTCAAGAGGATGTGAGAATTTATAATGGTATGTATAAACTGAATGGCTAGAGAAATATCATGTTCTAGAATAATTAGTTTCATCTTCATCCAAGGATCTTAGTCACGTTACAGCTAAGGAGAGACAGAGCTGAGGGCACAACGAATTTAAAGCAACAGGGTACAAAATTTGCCAAGTTGTTACACATAGGGATAAACTAAAATCATAGGGAAAAATCTCCCAACAATTACTCCAGGGTAACGTAGCAGGATTAAAAAGAAGTCCTCATCAACAGCTGCTAATAAGTATAGTTTCTAGTAGCTTCAGTATATTTCAGAAGGTAAGATTTTTGTTGCTATACCAAGTTCCTAAATTTAAATTCTAAGTAATCTTACTAACCCTTGGCTGAATTTACTTTCTCACATCTTGCACAACTTTTAGACATGGTCCACAGAAAATTGTTATGTTAACACGTAATAGCTTTTGCCTCTAGGGCACTTACAGTATGTAGTAAGAAAACAAGCTCATAACTTGCTGTTTGGAGGTCAGAAAGCAAATTAATTATTCATGTAAAATCCCAGAATACCTTTCTAGTTTGCATTTCTTTTAAGTTAATTACTGTGGTTACAAAATCTTTCCAAAATAAATAAACACCGGATTTCTGATCGTTATTAAATTCATGCAAAATAAAATCTGAACATTTACTATCTAAAACAAAACAACAAAAATAACACTAGTTGAAATTAGACATGAAGAATTAACTGTAAAGTCTCTCAACAAGTGTAACTGAGGATAGTTTTATTTAAATGATTGGAGTTTGATTTATACCAGCTGTGGAACCTGGCTGTTTTTTCAGCCAAGTAACTAGTGTATGGGTTACACGTGTACTTAAATCACCTGTACCAAGTCATTTTTATTATCAGTAGTAGTAGCAGTAGTTTATTCTGTTTCTTTCTTAACTTTTTAAACACGCTACTTTAGTTCTCTACATGCTATTATATGAACAGAGGTTCTATTACATAATAATTACAAAATGTACATCAGTCAGAATCAGTCATTTGGAAAAAAAAAGTCTTACTCTGAAAGGACTGAAGGTAGCATCTTCTCCGTTGCTGACTTTTGGCCTTTTTGTGGATTGGTGCTTTCAGCATCTCTCTCTGGGTGATAAAGCTGCTTGAGTATCAGTGTATTTCATCTGTGGTTGAGGGTTTGGTGAGAGAGAAAGGTTTTCTTCTGGTACCTGTGTCAATTCAATATTTAGCTTTCTTCTTTCCCTGCCTTCATAAAATAAGGTCAGCAGCACAGATAAAACAGCAGATTTTATAATGGAAACAGTTGGTCAGTAAAGTCAGTAATAGATAGTCTGGGCTGATCAAACTTATTTCCCAGTGGTTACCAATCAGATGCTGTTAAAAAACAACACTTTCACTCAATCAGTACTGCTTTGCTCCTTTAGCTTCACAGGTTCTGTTTGTTAATTAATGCCAAACTCCTTCTTCCCCTTAATTCCTGTTTGAAGCCAATTAAGAGATCTGCTAATGGCGTGTATTATTCTTTGATGATTTGGTACTTTTCACTAAATAGGTCTCTTTCACATTCTCTGCTATGTCAACATTATTTTGAGCTTTCTTGATTTAAGAATTTAAACTGAAATACGGTTGAATGAAAGTGACCTTTATGGGTGTCTGATCTGTGACTTGTATTGAAAATTTTAGGGGAAAAATAGGTAAATTTGATGTCAGATTACTTCTACAATTATAGCTAGGATGTTGTGAGTCACTGGGCTCTATTAAGTAAAGTTACTTGTTTTTCTCTAAGACCATGGCAAATGTATAATGATGTCAGCCTGCTGGAATGCCTTAGTAAGAGCTTCATTCTTCTGAACAGTGCTAAGAATCATGGAAGAACTTCCTCCCATAAGCCAAAGCAAAAGGCTGAAGGATATAAAAAAGAGCTGCCAGCTCTGCCACACTGTTACAAAAATAGTTCTCTTTTTATACACAAAGTACCTCCTTGAATTTGTCTTCTTCATACCCTCAAAAAAAGAAAAATCAGAAGTCAGAGAACTGTCCTATGTATATAGTTTTGTCCTTTATGAATGTCATAAGCCAGTTTTGTAACTCACGCTCCAGCAGGAATAATAAAACAACAGTTTTTTAAAAACCTTTTCCCCACTAAGAATTGTTTAAAACTATTCAGTGCAGTTTCAAGTTTGAAATACATGTCTGCACTCAGCTTTGAAAAATTATGCAAACATTCACAGAATCACAGAATGGCCAGGGTTGGAAGGGACCTCAAGGATCATGAATCTCCAACCCCCCCGCCACATGCAGGGCCACCAACCTCCTCATTTAATGCTAGACCAGGCTGCCCAGGGCCCATACGTTGTCAGTATTGCATTTTGTCCTATTGCAGGTAAAATCCTAACGTATTTCAATGTTATCTTATGTAGGTATTCGAGATGTTTCAAAATGGAGTGAAAAGGTTAAGAAACCACTTGAAGAGCTGTATGGACTTAAATACTTTGCAGAAACCTGTGAGGCTTGGGTAGATGGAATAACCCGCTTTGCTGAAAAATCAGGTGGTAAGGCTTCCATGGTGTTAATCTGAAGCAGTTATAGTAGCAGACAATTCTGGATAAGAATCCTAGTAGTCAGGAAAGGAAGGCCTCTTCATATGGCATTAAAAGCTGGGTCTGACTCACACTTATGAATAAAGCAGTTACTTCATAGACAGTTCACAGAACCAGCAAGGTACAGGAGGATAAAACATTTATGGAAATCATTAGTTGATGAGTCTCTTTGCTTGTTCTGCCATAAAACTACGTTAGTAAATAGTTTCTGTCATGCAGACTGAACAGGAGGGATTCTGCTAAGCTTTTTTCTCCTCTACTTTCTCAGTGTCAAAGAACTACCTCTTGGTGACATTTGTAAGCTCTCCAGAATGTCAGATGTGTTCATCTAAGTTTCTGAAAATGGGAGCTGAAACACTTTAAAAACTAGTAGCATATAATGAGTACAAAAAGAAGGACGTTCACATTTTGACAGCTCGAACTGAACAAAACATTAAAAAAAATACTATTGATGCAGCATGGCTATTTAAAATCCAAAAGAATAGTTAAACCAGGCAATATAACCATTACTGAATGTTTATCTCTGAAGATTTCTCCAATTACTCTACATAGACTTTTGCAAAAAAGGGTAAGTAGAAAGCCCAGGCCAGTTAAACTTTGAAGCCTCCCTTTATTTCAATATAGATGACTTCAGACAAGTGAATTTCTAGGCTTTTTGTTTGTTTGTTTTGCAAATTAAATACTAACTATTAACTTATTGTCTTTAAGTGGCTCAACTAGTACATACTCTATATGTAAAATTTATATAAAAATAAAGTCTTTATTGAGACATAGGTTTGCATGCCATGAAATTTAGTGGTAAATATGTTGGAATTTATCTCCTGTCCCCTGTATTTCCTGTCAAGAAAGGTACATGGAGCCTGCTTAGCTGCAGAAAAATGTAGAGGTCTGTAGTACTGGGCTCCATTTTAGGGTCAGTTCTCTTTAATGTTTTCATAAATGACTTGGATGCTGGATTAGAAATTGTTTTGAGCATGTTTGTTGATGATACTAAACTGGGAGTTGTTGACTCCATCAAGGATGGAGATACCTTGCAGAGAGATCTTGACAGATTAGAAATCAGGACATTCACCAACCACGTGAAGTTTAACAAGAGTGGGTGCTGGATTCTGCACCTGGGAAGGGGCAGTCCTGGCTATATGTACAAATTGGGAGATGAGATGCTGGGGAGAAGCCCCACTCAAAGAGATATGGGAGTCTTATAAACCTGTGTAACAAAATATAGCATTGAATGCAAAAACAACAAAAACTAAGGCTGAAGAGAAAAAAGCAGGACTGAGGACAATAGCTTCATTTGCTGTGTCTGTTTCTGTTAATGACCACTAAGGGAGCAAATTTCACTGCTTGTGTGTTACTTAAAAGAAATAAATATTAGTCCTGTTAACACACTTCTGTGGAATAATTGCATGCTATCCACCAGGAGAAACAATAGCTAGAACCCAAGTGGAGTTTGAGTCCTTTGCAGAAACAGCTTTGGTTCTTTCATTTTTATCTTTTTAAATGAAGTGTAACCTTCATTTATTTTCTCCCTAGGTAGTATCTGTCAACAGTTGCTGCCTCATATTAAATGTCCTACATTAATAATTCATGGTGAGAAAGACCCTTTGGTTCCACGCTTTCATGCAGAATACATCCATGAGCACATCAAAGGCTCCCGGTAAGTGAGATGATGGAGTGTTTCTAACTGATTGTTAAAGAAAAGAAGAAATTAAAATCCATAATGTTTAAAAAAAAAAAAAAAAAAAGCATTTGGACAAATCGGTCCTGACATAAATGAAACTATTCTCAACTTCCCTGTCAAGTTATGCAAACTTGGGCCTTTATGTAAAAAGAAAGAAGAATCAGTAATTCAGTAAGTACCTTCCTAATGTTCTCCAAAAGAAACTAAGGAAAGTCCTCTTGATCTTTCAACTTCTCACCAGATATATATATATTTTTCTTGTTATAGTCATTGCATTCCTTATATTGTGAGATACCTAATATCTGTTCCATTCAGTGGAGCAATGAATTTAGATGCTATGAATAGAGCAAGAGTACTAGTTAATAGAGAGAGGCAGAGGATACTGATCTCTGCTCTTGTTGATGTGAGCAACAATCTCTGATTTTATTTTTCAGAAGTTCCCTGAATTTGTTGTTTCAGAAAAGTGATATGGAAAAAAAAAAAATAAATCATACAGCTATGTTCAAATATTACCCCATAAACAAGAAAAGTCAAGACATTCATTCTGAAAACCCAAAAATGCTAGCCATAAAAAGGAGGGATTCCACTACCTTTCTTTTCTTCATAGATTTGCATATAAATTCAAGGTTTCTATTACTATTCAGCAACAGATCATGCTGACTAACACTCAAGAGACAAATTAGTACTGAAACATTTTTATGAATGCAAAGTGTAAGAATCTGTTTCACTAATGTCATCTCTGTGAGAAATTGAGTGATGTGTTTACCTTAAAATCAGCTCTGCCATTCATAAAAGACATTATGCAACAGGAAAGATAAAGAGACCTTCCTAATAACCACATACAGACTTTTATTTTAAATGCTTGACAGTCAGTTACTCCCACAGATGCCCTGTTTAGAATACCTATAACCATGTTAGATTTCCCTGAAAAAATGCTAAGGCATGCCATAACAAAAACTAGATAAAGATCAGATAGCTTCTTCAGAAGGACCACAAGGGTAGAAAGTGTTAGAAGTTACCAAACAGTAAAACATAAAGCTGTTCTTTACGTGTCTTTGTGCTGAAGTGCTCTCCCATATATGCATTTATCCAATAAGAAATTAAGCCAGTGATTAGATATCAGAAATACAGAGCAAAGATAGGTACATGACCTCCTTTTTCTCTTGCTGCACTAAAGATATTTCATGAAAGGTGAAAAATTCTAAGGTTAGCATATTTTCAGTAATAATTTGAATATCACCTTTTCTTGCCTTGATTTCTCTCTGAATAGTAAATTAGAAAAGGATTTGTTGTTTGTAGTGCAGATACACTGTTTCTATCATATTATGGCTAGAATTAGGTAATTTTAGGTATATCATTCTGGATGGTATTCATCACTGCTATTATGTTTGCATATCTGTATATTGCTTTGTCTTTGAAGAAACAGTCTTAATGAAATTCAGACAAATACTAGAAGAACTACATATGTTCACACCAGTGCTCTTTTCTATCTGAAACAAAGCATCACTTGATCACCACTAAAAGAATTATTGCCTTTGCTGTAGCAGGATTTAAATGGCATTAAGACAGCATAGCAAAGTATCAGACAACGTGGTCTTCAGCTGTTGAAGCTGATAAAAGTTGTTAAACAAGGAATTTCACAACATGATATATGTGCTAGAAGTACATGTGCTAGAAGTATACATGAAGTTTTTCCCAGAGAGAAAACAATGGCAATTAGTTTAGTCTTGTCTCGCCTATCAGTTAACAGCCTAAAGATCTAAAGATTTAGACTATTCAGAGACTCTCCTAAACCTTTTCGTAGCTTAAGTCACAATTCAACTACAGAAGTACAGACTTCACTTTTTACTTTAAAAAGCTAGATTATATTAGTTCTGAATTTGTTTTTATTCAGAAAAATGAGACAATGCAAATGCCAATTGAGTTTGCTGTGGTTACAGATTTAGTTTCACCACCCAGTCTGTCCAGCACAGGCACTGTTCTCTGATAGAGGCAAAGCAGCTTAGGTGCTTGACATACCTTTTGATGCATCCTACTCACCTAAATTTCACTGTCATCTTTGCAGACCACTGAAGAGGTTCTTAAACTAGGTCTGAGACACAGATTTGTTTAAAGCATAGTTTATCCTTCCCAAAGTGGAGGAAGTCTGTTTGTTGTTTCAACTGTTCCTGTAGTTGACATTCTGATCCACATACACAGAAACAGTACATCAGTGTTACATCAATATTTTTACTTGGGAAACCAAGAGCAAAGGAAAAGGACAAACTGTTTACCTGTGCTCCCAGAATATAGTGCATATTCAGAATATTGTTTCCCCCCCCCCCTCCTTCTTTTTAGGTTGCATCTGATGCCAGAAGGAAAGCATAATCTACATCTGCGTTTTGCAGAAGAGTTCAACAGAGAAGTAGAAGAATTCTTACGGTGACCTAAACTGTAAAGTTAGAGGTATTTGTCCTAGCACTGTTTAGAAAATTTAGTGATTTCATTTTTCGTTCACATTAGGTATGAGTCCTGTAAAGAAAAGGAAAAAAAGATATTTGCATGACAGGGATCCATATTAACAATATGTAAGCCTCTGTGGATCAGAATATACCACTGTACTTCAAGACATCTAACATGCCTTGAAACTTATTCAGCCAGAGGGGCAAGAAACAGATGTTCTTTGTCTGATGGGGGAGTTAAAAAAGACAGAAAACATGATCTAGAATGCATGCCTTTATGTGCTCTTAACATTATAAAGGACAAAAAACCATTGTAATAACTTGGGATTCGGAACTGTTACATTGATAAAATCTGTCAAAGTTACAAGTGCAAAGAGGATAATTGGGTACACAGCATCTAAAGAACATGCTTTACCACTACTATCAAAAGTCATTCCATACGCATGCCAGCTTTAGAGAAGTTCTTCTGATAAGAGGGAACTTAAGCCTCATCCTCCTCTCCTTCCTCTTCAAATTCACCCTGCTCATCAGCAGTGGCATCCTGGTACTGCTGGTA